AAAATGATTATTTAAACATAAAAAAAAACACCTAAACACATAAAAAAAATACTGGTAACCTCTTGAATAATGAGTTTAATAATAATAATAATAATAATAATAATAATATATGCATAAAAAAGAATTAAAATATGCAAAATACTAATGTAGGCAATTATTAGAGGGTATTAAAGTACTAATGTAGTCTTAAAACTTCGTCCCTAATTATATATATATAAATATATTATTGTTACTTATTCCGTCCCGGTCAAGATGATCATTTTACTTAAGACACGGTATTTTAGGTAGTGTAAATTAATAAGTTATTAATAATAAGTTATGATATTATTTTATATTTTTATATGAGTAGTGTTCTTGGTATTTTAAATATTTTTAGCATTATAAATCAATAAAATATATACAATATGAATATCATTTTGTAGAGAATAAAATTTTATGTAATACAAATAAATAAAAAATTTATTTATTTATTTATAATTAACTTAAAACTAATTTTATTAAAAATAAAAAGTTTTAAATACAGATAAAAATATTTATTTATTGAGAAAAGAGATATAAATAAAAAGGTTTTGAATGGTCGTACGTATAAGAGGTTAAAAATTTAATTAAATTGATTTATATTTATTAAATATATTTAAGATTAATAAATTTACTTAAAATAAAAAAATGTCATCTTTAATAAGACGAAAAAAAAATAAAAAAAAATAAAATAAAAAATCTGTGGATTTAATAAATGAAACCTACTTAAACAATTTGTACTTCACATAACAGACAAAGGGGTTTTACATTGTCTTATTCATCAATAAGAACAAAATAAAAACATAGGGAATCTTTACATATCATACCAACCATCCAAACATTTGATACTCATCTCTTGTCACCATTTTTTTAAATAAAACTTTATTTTTTTCTAATCCAAAAAATTAAAAAAATTAATATTTGTATGGATGATGATATTAACTTTTAGAAAATTATTATATATTTTTAAATTTTTTACTAGGCAACGTAACAGTTCTTATTATAAAAATATACTGCTCCCTCCGTCCCACACACTGTGTCTGCTACTGTAGACACGGTATTTTAGGAGGGGTGTAATTAGTAGATAATTAAGAATGTATTAGTGAAAATAATTATCCTATAATATAAATAAAATTTTATTAAAATTTAGATAATTAATTAGTTTAATTAAAATTTTTAAAAAAATAAATTTAAAACTTTAAAACGAGATTAAAGTGTATAATCATTTTCTAAAAAAGAAAAATGACATGGAATGTGGGACGGACAGAAACGACAACATGAACATGGTATGTGGGACGGAGAGAGTAATATTTATAAAAAAAAAAATATATATATCCAACAAAGTAAACATATCCAAGCAATGTCTTATCAAGAATCAAATTATGCTCGTACAATTCGAATGGATTCGACTAAATCGAAATTGTAGAATATTGAGATGAAACATCTATGTCGTGTAAGAAAGAAGAATATTTCGATACAAAATTCTTAGATATGTTATCTTGAATATGATCCCATATGAGATGTCACTTTAGTTTGTTTTGGTTTTACGGTTCAAAAATATTCAATTAAACGTTAAATATTCTAAATCCGAGCGACAAGTGATAATTAATACAACATAATATAAAACAAACACTAGAAATTAATTTGTTTGTGCTTAAATAGGTTATCCGATAGTAATTTGGACGACGGATCGAAAGCTAAACAAATTGTATAGAAACTGTAAATATAATTAAACACAAGACGTGTTTATCTAGTTCCGCCAATACATTTAAAAACTCCACTTAAAAAATAAAAAATAAAAAATCAACATACAAACAATCCAATAATATTTAATATTCGTTACGTTTTCAACTGAAAATATTATTTTTATATATTTTCTATAAGAATAAAAGTAATAATGGATTAATATCGAAATATTTTTTAAATTTTTATATAAATTATAAATATACCAGTACTCATACAATTAAAATATTGAAATCATCTTACATATTTTTAATAACTAATAAAATATTATTATTTTTAATCTAATACAAAAAAATCAAATGACTACCTTGAAGTGGAATAGAAGGAGTATAAAATTTTGAATGAAAACTTAAGTTTTTATTTTATTTTATTTTTTTAATATATTAAGTAAATAAACAAATATTTAATTTAATAGTATTAAAAAAAAACAAAAAACAAAATAATGAACAATAGGAGTGCAAATCCAAACTCTAAATATCAGCCAACAAACAAAAAGACATTATTTTCTCTTGTTAAAAAAAAAATTAAATTCAATGAATGTTTAAATTAAAATACAAACAAAAAGCAAAATCTAAGAAACTTAAAAAACATAATAATAATAATAATAAAATAAAATAAAATAAATAAAAATGAAAATAAATTTAAAATAATAAAAATTAATATTCTCTCAGTTCTACTTACCTTTATGAAGTTTTATAATAAATTAATAAATAATAATATTTTATTGATTATTTGAAAAGTGTGTGTTTATTGATTATGATAAAAATATAAATAAATGATGTGTATCTCTACAAATTTTAATTTTTATATGAAACCATTATTTACGTAATCTAATACGGTATCATAGTCGAAAAGTTCTCTGTTACATTCCACCGTTCCCATTCCTCATCATCCATATGTAAAAAATGATGCAATAAAAGAAAATAGATATTTTTAATAGTATAATAAACAAAAATAGTAAAAAATAATACTTTAAATGAGACAAAGGAAAATGGTGAAGTAATTGATACTCCCTCCGTCCCAAAAGAAGTGTCTTATTGAGAGTTGGCACGGGAATTAAAGAATAATAATATTTAATTGAGAGTGGGTATAAAGTAGAATGTAAATGACTAAAATGTCCTTACTTTTTGAAGGATTTTAAAGAGTTTGTTAGAGTAATAATTATGGGTAGTATGAAAAACTAGAAATAATTTTGTTATAAAATGGGGACCACGGCTACTAAATAAGGAAACAAGAAAATTGTTCTGGAACAGACGAAAACGGAAAAACAAGACAAATCTTTTGGGACGGAGGGACTATAATATTTTATAAAATTAATAAATACTATATATTATGATTATTTTTTTAAAAAAGAAAAAAATAAATTAACATTAATAATACTTTCTCCGTCTAAAAAAAGTTGTTTTATTTTTTCATTTTTGTTCGTTCAAAAACAATTATCTCGTTTCATTATTTAGTAACTGTAGTCCCCACTTTATAACAAAATTATTTATATTTTTTCAAACTATCCCTGATTATTATTTTAACCTACTTTTTAAAATTTTTTAACAAATAAGAATATTTTAATATTTTACATTTTACTTTATATCAATTTTTAATTAAATATTATTATTCTTTAATTCTCGTGTCAATATCCAATAAGACATTTCTTTTGTGACGGACGAAGTATTAGAACTTTTAAAAGCAAGTGTACGAAAATACTTGCACCTGTGCATGTAAGCAAGTCCAGGTTAAAGGCATTTATTTATTTTTGTATATAAAATATATAAATATTTTATAAATATATAGTTGAGTAGAATAATATAAAGTCTAATTTACCATTGATTTAAATAAAAATATAGGTATTCTGATATTTAGTCGAAAAATATTTTTATTAAAAAAAAATTGTATATATTTTTCTTTTATCCATCCATCAATTTATGAGTCAACGGGTTTGTTTGATGAGATCTAATAATAAATTAAATTTAAATTAAAGCATAATTTAATTTAATATAAATAAATATTTTTAGTATTATATTTGAAAAATCTAAATAAAAAATATTTAATTTAAAAATCAAAAAATAAAAATAGTAGCAGTAATAGTAGGACAAGCTGGAACAAACAAGAATCAATGCAATTGAGAGAACAAGGAATCATTGATTGTGACATAGCATACTATTTTGATAATACTCTTTCTCCCTTTAAATTTGTTTTACCTTTTTTTAATTTTAATTTTAATTTATTTTTTATTTTCAGTAAAAAAAAAAAATACCATTTTTTAAATATTTTCTTTATTCTAATGGATAATAGAGGAAATACTAAAGCTGTGTTTATTTTGTAAGATAATTTGAAGAAAAATTTTTTGATATGAAATATATAGATTTATATATGATTTATAAATATAATAAAAATATATTATATTAATATTTTTGAAAAAAAGTGTCTTTTCTTATTCTGAAAGAACACACCCTGACATTTATTCTTCCACCCGGTGCAAATATAATTATTTGATTTTCACATATGAATTTTAGTATATTATTATTTTATAAGTAATAATATAATAAAAAATAAAAAATATTTTTTTTTTAATATTATTATGTAAATATAAGGTATTTTTAATAAAATAAAAAATACTTTTAATACATTTATTAGAGTTAGGACAAATTAAAATAATAAAAATAATTACATTAGTGGTCAGATCAACGGAGCATATTATTATATGCCTCGACGGGCATTTCCAGAGCTGACCAGGCCACCATTTACATTTGGTATCATTTTTTCCCTTTCCATCATTTGAAAACGACAAACACCAAACTTAGGGTTTATTTCTTTTATAAATTTGAAAAAATTTAGATTTGATATTTAAATAATGGATAATGAGATATTTTATAAAAAAAAAAAAAAAAAATACTACTTTGGAAGAAGGGTAACATTTACTTTTTGTATGTAAATTTTAGAAAAGACAAAAATATCTCTATTAAATTGTGTGATATAAAAGTAATAGAATTTGTGTAATATATTAAAAATTATAATGATATCCTTTTTTGGGACAACTAAAATGAAAAAGAGTATGTATTTTTTTTATCTTTTTTTTAATAGTAAAAAATTTTCAGTGTAAAAAAACACACCCTTAATTATTATAATAATATTATTATTATTTCCCTTTAATTTAATTTAATTTCCTGAATTTAACTCTGTTTCCAAATATATGGAGTAAAAACTCCATAATTTACCCAACTCCAGTCCTCCCCCAATCATATATAAGTCGATACATCCAATCCCTTCTTCTTCATCACCCTAATTTTGCAGTAATTGACGATGGAGGATTTGCAGAAAACCCTAATTGAGAAAACTCCGACGGTGATTTCGACGGTGGTGACGATAATGGCGGCGGCGGTTGCGGTTGTGGTGTACTACTTTTACAGGCCGTATTGGGGGGTGAGGAAGGTTCCAGGCCCGCCGGCGCCGCTGCCGCTGGTGGGGCACCTCCCTCTCCTCGCCAAATATGGCCCCAACGTCTTCTCCATTCTCGCCAAGCAGTACGGCCCCATTTTCAGGTCATTATATTTCTATTTCTATTTCAAATCCAATTTCTCAATTGCAGTATGGTTGTCTCTGCTGTCTTCTTGATTAACGTTGGATGTTAAATCATTCCTGTCTTCAATCAGTCAAGAACACTGTAATTCGATTTGATTTGATTTGATTTGATCTGATTTGATCTGATTTGAAGTGGAGCAGATTCCAGATGGGCAGACAGCCATTAGTGATAGTTGCAGATGCTGAGCTATGTCGAGAAGTGGGCATCAAGAAATTCAAGCACGTGCCCAATAGAAGCATCCCATCTCCCATCGCTGCTTCCCTCCTCCATCAAAAGGGCCTCTTCTTCACTAGGTACCCACCCTCTTCTACCTCATTCATTACATTAAATGGCATAAAATTCCCACGTTATTTCACAAAATTGTGCAAAACTTTTATACCTCTAAAATTATAAATATATTTATTATTTTTTTAAAAATATATTTACTATTTTTTGCAGAGTTTATAAAACCGATGCAGTTTAACGCAATACTATAAAAACGATTTCGTGAAATTTAGCCTCAGAAGTATTAATTACTAGTCATTTTACTCGACATTTAGGGATTCTCGATGGTCCACCATGCGCAATACCATTTTATCTCTCTACCAGCCATCCCACCTCGCCAAATTAATCCCATCAATGCAAAACTACATCGCCGCCGCCGCCCAAAACCTCGACACCTCCGACAACATCATTTTCTCCGAATTCTCCCTCAAACTCGCCACCGACGTCATCGGAGACGCCGCCTTCGGCGTCGATTTCGGCCTATCCAACCCTAAAACCACCGCCGGCGCCGCCGCAGGCGGCGGCCGCGGCGATCAGGTCCAGGAATTCATCAACCAACACATATACTCGACAACTCAGCTGAAAATGGACCTGTCGGGATCGTTCTCCATCATCCTCGGCCTCCTCGTCCCCATCCTCCAAGAACCCGTCCGCCAGATCCTCAAACGAATCCCCGGCACCATGGACAGGAAATTCGACCAGACCAACCAGAACCTGAGCCGCCGGCTCGACCGGATCGTCGACGATAGAATGCAGGACAGGAACAGGGCCGACAAGAAGGATTTCCTGTCCCTCATTCTCAGCACCACCCAATCCGAGACCGCCGCCAAAAATGTCTTCACTCCCGACTACATCAGCGCCGTCACCTACGAGCATTTGCTCGCCGGCTCCGCCACAACCTCCTTTACATTGTCGACCGTTGTTTATCTCGTCTCCGGCCATCCCGACGTCGAAAATAAAATGCTTGACGAGATCGACGCATTCGGCCCTGCCGACGTAGTTCCCAATGCGCATGATCTTTCGACGAAGTTTCCTTACCTTGATCAGGTCGAATTTTGGCATTGCAAGAACAACATCGAATCGAATTTAAAGTTAACATCTTTTGAATTGCGATCGCAGGTCATTAAAGAGGCAATGCGGTTCTACACGGTGTCGCCGTTGGTCGCGAGAGAAACATCGGCGGAAGTCGAGATCGGAGGCTATGTTCTCCCGAAGGTAACTTCTATTCTCGCATCGATAAATTCGTCGTCGTCGTTTGTGAGATGATGAAATTTTGAATGATCAGGGAACATGGGTGTGGCTAGCTCCCGGCGTTCTTGCGAAGGATCCGAAGAACTTTCCGGAACCGGAGAAGTTCAGGCCGGAGAGGTTCGATCCGAACGGCGACGAGGAGAAGCGTAGGCATCCTTACGCGCACATTCCGTTCGGGATAGGCCCGAGAGCGTGCATTGGTCAGAAATTCTCGTTGCAAGAAATCAAGCTGTCGTTGATCCATTTGTACCGTCGTTACGTCTTCCGGCGCTCCCCGGAGATGGAGGACCCGCTTGAGCTCGATTATGGCATCGTGCTTAACTTCAAGCATGGCGTCAAAGTCCTCGCCGTTAAACGCAATCATCAAGCGTAAAAGCTTCGATGCATTTTTGGAGAATTCAAATGTGATAAATATCAAAATCCGTTAGCTCAAGCTGTTGTCCGAAAACCAATCTGTTTACAACATTCGACATTTATATATATATATATATATATTGCGTCGAGGAACTTTCTCTAATCCCTCGAAAACTTATCGCCGAGAGGTCGGGATGTAGGAACTGTACAAGGATCGACAGCCATTGATCTTGTAAGAAACTGAAGTTCGTCCATCGACTGCCTCATCACTCGGCAGCTCCTCCGCTTGGCTTTGGTAGCTTCGGTCAAGTTCATGTAATTAGGCCTCCGGCCATTGCTTTTCTCGTCTGTCCTGTCTGAAGCCGTGTTTCCGGAGACAGGAGTTGCAGTCGTGAAGATTGAAGACGAAACTGAGCTCTCGTCGTGTCTGAAATCTGAGCTATAGCTAGATGACGATTGATTCGCCGGCGCGGACACCCTCTTCGTCACGTTTTTCTTAATTCTCAATGTACTAGGTTCAGACAACCTAGAGACGCTCCCTTTGGACATGTCCCGGAAATTCTTTAATTCGACGACATTGTTCATCTCCATTAGTCGTGTTTCCCACGGCTTCGCCGCCATCCATCGCTCGAGCCAGCTCCACCCCCAGCTGTTCTTGTCGAATTCGCGACCATTCGACGTCGATTTCCCCTGTAATTTCGGTGAGGCGTCTACGACGAATTTGAATTTGAATTTGAATTTAGATTTATACAAACCTTTTGAGATTGAGAATACGCAATGGCCCTTTCTCTTTTGACAGCTCCCTCTTGCCTCATATGTATCTTCGCCTTAACCTCTTCCAGAGTTCCTCTGCTGTCGCACCATCCTTCCTGAAATTCGTCGAACTCGATTTTCAGTTCAATTACAATAACTTTCGCAACAATACGATTTCATAATTTTTCTCATTAATTCTAACATTGGAAATTTGAGTAATTAATGACCTCGGCGTGTTTGAAGAGGTCGTCGGCTATGGCGCGGCGGCGGTGGTGGAGAATGTTCTGTACGGCCTGGCCGTCGGCGGACATGCGGACGCGGCGGGCGCGGACGCGAGCCTGGACGCGGACGAGGGCCTGCATACACCGGAGAGTTACGGCGGCTTGTTTTCGGACCTGCCGGCCGCGGACGATGGCCTGGAGGCGGACAACTCCTTTTAAAGCTTTTAAAGCTCTTCTGGCCTGTGTGAATCGAATTGGATTTGGATTTGAATTATTTGTTTGAAAATGGATTGGATTGATTATTACAGAGAGAGAGAGAGAGGAAGGACCAGGAATCCTCGGAAGGCTGTCTGGATTCGAATGGCGGCCCATTCATGGCGGACGGCTCGGAAGTCTTTGGGAGGAGCTCTGACAACGGCGGCGACGGCGGCGGAGAAGGAACTGTCTGAATTATTCAGATCTGAACCGCCGCCGGCGATTCTTTTGAAGCCTTTCCACGATCCGCCATTTTGATGATCATTTGATGATGTTGTTGATGATGATGATGATGAACTTCTCCAGATCTTCCATTTCTTCTTCACCTTTCCGACACCCTTTTCCTGCACAAAAGTATAATTTTAAAAAAAAAAATGAAAAAAGAGAAAAGGTGGGTGTGTATGTGTAATTTGTGAAGTGAGTGAAAATGAAGAGGGGGGGGGGGGTTTACAGAGTTGTGATTGTCTTTGTGTTTGTTGAGTCCTATGAAAGCTTTAACCCATTCGCCAGAAGCCCTCCCCATTGTTGGGACAATGTAATGTAATGAAATGGATAATGATGATGATGCAGTTTCAGTAGAGAGAGAAAAACCACCGAAGAAGAAACATAGAGTGAGAGAGAGAGAAGGGTAATAATAAAAAAGGGTTCTTGAATCTTGATTTTCTTGTTCTTGTGGGATATATATATTATGGGATGAAAATTGTTGCACTACATAGAGTAAAGCGTGCAGTCGAAATCCCCCATTCTTGTCCACTCCAAAAGGGGTTTTTTTTACGAAGACGACATGGGTGGGGTGGGGTGGGGTGGGGTGGGGGCTTTTCTAATAACTGTTTTGAGAATTGGGACTGTTTCAATGCCGTTGGATTGCAGTTTTCTTTTTGAAATTCAAAAACTAACATTGAACGATGAATTCCCCGCTCTCAGTTCCATAATGAATGCCCACGCTCTAGTGACTAATTACGAAAGTGCCACTGTTCGGACATGGTGACCAAACATCAAAAGATGCAAACTTTAAAAGCACACAGGAAATCTCAAAAAGAAAAATCTCGTCTAGTCAACAAGATCTCTATTTATTTATTATTATTATTATTAGTAATAGTATTAGTTCCCTCGGCTCAAGGTTGTTATTTTTTATTTTTATCGGTTCTAAAATAATATTATAATTTTTTAATTCAATAATTGTACTACTATCTAATATAATAAATATCTTTCTAACTAAAATTGTATTATACAAATATCGTTAATTTTATATTATATAATACTAATAGGAGTATTTTTGTCTTTTTACTACAATTCATTATAATAATAATATTAAAAAATTTACTTGCAAAAAGTAAACGGCAACTTTACACTGTGACGGATGGAGTATTATTATTACTTTTTGAGTAGACATGAGTTTTAAGAAAAATAGGTAAAAATAAAAACTTTTATTTTTTTTGTATAAAGAAAAAATATAAAAAATGGCATTTTGTTACTACAAAACGAAAATAAATTTGAATGACAAAAAAATACTCTATTCGTCTCATATCTATATATTCATTTTCTTTTTGCACGGAGTTTTAGAAATATTAGTATTATATTGGGATAAAGTAGAAATAAAGGTAAAAAGACTAAATTACTCTTATTAGTATTGTATGATATAAAGGTAATGACATTTGTGTAATATATTATAAATTGAAAGGGTATTTGTAATGTTAGGTAGATAGTACAATTACTAATAAAAAATGAATATTTTATTATGGAACGGATCAAAATAAAAAAATAAATAGATTGTTAAGGGACGGAACGAATAATAATAATAAAATTTGATAGGAACGACGGATGGATGAAGTATTATTTTTTTGTCAATTTGTCTATGCTATATATATATTTGTACTTGTACATAAATTTGCACACCATTTATTTGCTTTGGATTCTTGTGCAGCTATTATTATTTATTTAAAGGTCCATAGGCATAATGTTAGTAATTTTCGAGGTTTAAATTTTAAAATCATTCATCGTGATTTTATTATAATAATTTAATTGTAATTTATGAACATTGTAATAATGGAATAGAGTGGAATGATGTAGATAATCAATGGAGGAATAATTCATCAATTCCGACCAGTTCATTAATGAGAAAGAGGACCGGATAGGATAATCTAAGAGGGTTGTAATTAATTATTACATTAACTGTTATTTAATGACAGCTCATTATTACTACTCCATTTATCGTCATTCAAATTACTTTTTCTTTTTTGAAAAATATACTTTTTCCATTTTTCTTTTTTAATTAAAAAAGTATATTATTTTTTTTAAAAGATTAAGAATGTGCTCGACAATTAGCTGATTCGATTAGTTGTTTGTATTATAGTGTCTGGCAAAAGAGCGCTGTGATATTAGCTATTTATATGTAAAATAATAATTATGGATATTTTATATTTTATTTTTTAAATATTTAGTTGATTTTTTCCGCATAAATTTCTTTTATAATTTTATTATTAATTTCAAATTTTAGAAAAAAATTTATCAAGATATTTATTTTTATTATTTAAATAATATTTTGTAAAGAATTAATCCAAACTTATTGAAAAATATTTTTTTTATTAGAAAATAGTATAAATATAAAAAAAATAAAAATAATTAGTATATGTATTTTTATTATATTAATAAAAAAACAGTTATTTTAAATTTATAAATATGAATTTATAAGTAATTAGAATAAAATATATCCAAATAATTAATAAATAGTGTAATAAAAAATATATTAATATATATGAAATAATTAATTAATTTTAAAAGCAAATAATAAATAAAAAAATTAAAATGAAAAAGTTAATCTAAAACGCTGGGATATACAGATTATTCAATTAGCTTTTTGGACTCAATAAACTAATTGAAAACGTTAATTTACCAAACACTAAAATTAGTTGATTTATTGGTCAAACAGCTATAAGCTCTTCAATAAGTTAAAAGCTCTTGAAAAAATTGTTTACCAAACACCCTCTAAAAAAATACACATACTAGTATTAGTGGTTGTAGATCATCCGTTGATTCGGCCAAGTCAATATAGTGTTGATTTAATGCATATATCATACACCTAACACATATATATATTTACACATAGTATAACATATGTTGGATTATAATTCTCCCTCCGTTCCGGTGCAAGGTTGTCGTATACTTTTTGCACATATATTTTTTAATATTAGTATTATAATAAGTTGTAGTGAAAAAGACGAAAATGCCCATATTAGTATTGTGTAATATAAAAGTAATGACATTTATGTAATATAGTGTAAGTTTGAAGGGTATTTATTATATTAGGTAGGTAGTACAATTATTAAATTAGAAAATGGTAACCTTTTGGGACGGACGAAAATAGAAAACGACAACTTTCAATGGGGCGGAGGGAATATAACATATGTTGTATTGTAAATATAAATATATATTGATTATCTGTATAGTATATGTTGATCCGGTCAAATTAATAAAAATATATAAAAAATTTTGACAGTTTTGCCTTTTAACTTTATATATAAAGTAAATATATGTGTAAATAATATTTTGTAGTTTAATTAAAAATCAAGAGTATTTATATTAGTGTGTGATTATTTTTACCAAAATAAAAAAGATTTTTTAAGTAAAACAAGCGAAAATTATATAAAAAAAAAAAAAAAAACTTTCACATTGTGTTGACAACATACCTTATATATTAATATAATAAAAATATAACATATTATAGTCTTCTATAGCACTCTTTCAACATATTTTGTAATTATGAATAAATAGCATTTTCTTATTACAAATAAGTGTGTAATAAAAAACGTGTTGTTTATATATATTACGCATGCACCAAAACCATCCCGAATAAGATATATTTATTATATTGAAAATTAATTTTATATTATATTGTATATTATGAGAAGAGTTAATAATGCTAATTTTTTTTTGTTAAAAAATCAGCATACATAAAATATAAAAATAATATTAAACACATTATTTGTAATAAAAATATATCCTTCCTTCATCCTATAACAAGATATTCATTTACCCTTAACGTTGAAAATATTCTTATATTTGTATAAACTTTTATATAAATGTTATTATATTAGTATTATAAGACACTAATATAAATGATGTTTTGATATAATAATTAATATCCAAAGATCAACATCCAAAAAGTAAATGAATATTTAGTTATGGAACGAAAGAAGTATTATTTGTTTGTTCAGAATTACACATATAGTGTATAAAACTATACCATATGCTAAAATCATCTACTATATATATGCTATTGTAAAACTATATTATGTATTTTGTTAATTCATGTATTTTATTTTTATTATATTAATATAAATAATATGTTGTAAACCATGGTCGTATATTATATTATCCTGTATGGTCAAACACTTTACAACATTTCTTTTTTTTATATCCCAAACATCCTACAATATTTTCAAAATAAAAAATAATTAATTATACTTAATCTCTACCTCATACTTTATCCCCTCACATCATCCAAATAAAAAAATAAAATATACATTTCTCTCTCCATCACATCACCTAATTTCTAATATTACCCCTAAAAACCCGTGCAAAAAACAAATATTGTTATCATTTGATAAGAGTGTCATTTGTATTTTGAATTGTTTTCAACTCAAATAAATAATAATAATAATAATAATAATAATAATAATAATAATAATAATAAAGAATATATATATATATATATATATATACACAAAAACTTCCTATGCAAATATGTTGACATGAAAGCCAGCCAAATAGAGTCCCTACAATTCGTAAAACCTTTTTACACAAGTGAAGTGCTGCATCATGCTATTTCACACATTGAATTGCAAACAAATACTAGTTCCAAACATCGTGGTAGACTGATTGATTGTCCATCTAGTCCAAAACAAAAATTCAAGCAACATTTCAATAAATCATGTATGTAATAATTATGATCAAAATTAAAACTTGACATGTTGATGCTGATTTAATTAACTTACAACACAAAACTGGAGCAAGTTCGATCAGAAAGAACCAAGGTTTCGGGGCCGTTGTGATTCCTTGTCTTCATAGCCCCTCAGAAATGCTCGTATTGAGAGATGCTCGGATGCGTAAGTCATGAAAGATACCAAGATAAGCCCTTCCGCTACCATCAAACCTAACCTGTAAACCCGTAGAGCTTTCAGTATATCTCGGCAAATATAGACATGACATTTACTCAAACACTTGTAAAACACAAATAGCCGAGTTTTTTAACACTAATGAAATGCATTTCAAAACTGTTTAGAAATGGGAATATAATAATGCGCTCAAATAAATTATCTTTGCCCGGTAAAAAACATTCTCACCATCTACATAGTGAACTCTAACATATAAATTAAAATCTACCAAATGCCGGCTAAGACATAGAATAAAACGAAAAGAAAGGGAAACATACTAAAAAGTGTAAAAAGAACCAAATAAAAGCTCAAAAAGCAGTCGATTGATCTAATCATAATTCCAAGCGTAAAATTATCCAACTTTATAGCAAGAACAACTCAAAAAATCAAATAGGAAGTACATGTGCCGTGCACTAAGGCCACTCTTTTATCAATAGGGAAATAAAATATAATAATAATAGTAATAATTGCAGGATTTTGAGCAGCTCAGTAACTTGTCACAAGCGATTTATTCTCTCCTTTATTGTAGCATTTGGGTTCATTCATGAAGATATTTATGGTGGTTTAGATTGCAATGATGCACAGGAATTATAGTTCGCCAACTCAGATCTCACAGTAGCAGACTAGTAGTAACACCAAATTTATTTTATAGCATGTCGACTTGTGCAGAACAACGGCATTAAAGATTAAGAGGCAAGAAAAATAAAAAAGAATACCTCACAAAAAGTGCTGTGATCCCCAAAAGACAGGGTAACAAAGGCACTGCCAAGGCAAGAGATACCATCCCCAACCCATAATAACAAGCAGCTGCATCACAAGCAGACATTTGTCGAAGATGACCTGAGAAGAAGCCAAACATAAATAACCCCTACCACGGCAAGATGCTAGAATGCTAAGCTATGTAAGGTGCGGTGAGGCCTATACCTTTTTCAGATTCATTATCCAAAGATTCAGGATTTGCCGGAAAAGATGGCGCTTGATTGGACATGCGCTTTCCCCATTGATAAATTGCATGAAGATAAGCTCCAAACAATAGGAAAAACAGTGTGAATGTCCACTCATATACAAGTAAAAAACCAGTCCATGGCATAACTTGGCGGGGCACAATCAGAAAAGACAGTGCCAGGGAAACCACAAGAGCCGTGAAACAGAAGACCACAGACATTACACCAAGATATGCAGGCACCTTGTTCAGTGCTACATGAGGAAGCTGCTTTTCAATGCACAATAGGAAGATATATTAGAGAATGGAACGGAGATTTACAACTAGATAAAATCAATATCGAATGAACAAGATTCCCAGACTGAATTCTATATCATAAATATAAGGGGGAAAAAAATACTCAATGTAAGATTGTCATATTTAAAATTATAAAAGTTTGTGAAGGAACTATTTTTGACTCTATTACATCCATTAGATGTAGTGAATCAAATTTATATCAAAACAAACCTGTTGAGTAGATATGATGGTAGAGGAAGTTACAGAAGAGTAACCAAAACCACCTCCCGATCTCAACTTGTAATAGATGTTTCTAATATGGTCAAGAAGTGGTCTGGTCTGTGGAAATAAGTAAATGTTAAGACTAAACTATAAAGGCTACTACAAAATATTCAAATGAAGAAAAAATTTGGATGTAGCAACCTGCAAGCATGAACGATAGTAACAGAAAATGAAGATTGCAAATGGAAGCAGCACAAGAAATGTCACTAGCAGTTGATCATTAGGATTTTGACCACCTCCAGTTCCTGGAAGGGTCTCTTCGAGCTTTACCCTGACTTTCTGCAATGACAACAAACATAACATTTTGCAATTGGTTAAGGGAGAAAGTAGAGGTAACACGTCCCGGCGTGAATACCATGTTAAAATAAATGTAAGTATAAGGATATAATGTGTCACCTGCCAGGCATCAACAGGCTTAACAAGCCAATGCGTCCACCAATCCCACGGTTTAAGAGGACCGAGTGTATAATGAATAACACAGAGATCTTCATCATTAACCATCCACTGAAAAAGAGATTGTTAAGAAATAATGCAATATTAAGAAACATGACTTTTGGCAACTGCTATGCACCATTATTACTAACCCTTCAAAACAAGTTCACACAAAAAACATGAATTTTCAGTAACTAACTTATTTCCTATCACTACAGGCATCATTCAAAATCCAATAATGAGCTAATAATTAGATTATTGTAAATTCAGTTGTCTCAAATATGTATACAACATTCAAGTACTGATATTCACCACAGAAACACATTACTTTCACACATTAAAAAGGGAACTCGTCTAAATCTTAATACATGCATAAATAACCTGATGTGCCCTTAAAATACAAGATTTCCAACTATAAACACTAACAAAGTTTGCCATTTATATGAACACCATATATGCATTTGTTCTTAGCATGTGCTTCACTCTATTATAAATTATAATAAGATATAGTGGTTTCACAACTATTCTAGGAATGCACAGACGTAGAGACTGGAAGACCTATCCTACATTTCAAAGATTAACACCCGAATTCAGGTACTTTGGCCTAACTTATTATATGATTGAAACTAAACCAAAGACATGTCACTGTAGAGATAAAATAGTAATTATGGGTGTGTTTACTTAGGCTTTGGTTTTTATTTTTTGTTTGAATCGTGATTTGAATATGATGTTTTGGAAGATGAAAATAGTATATTTTTATAGGAAATCGTAATGAAATGGTTGCACATGCATAGTAAAAAACCTGAAACAAAACTCCAAGTGAACAGAGCCTGAGTATTTATTTTATATTACAATTTATAACATAATAATTATTTTATCCTACAAAGTAAACTAAACACACCCCTTAGTTATTTTATTAATATATTTAGTTTTGTGTATTAAAACCCTTACTTAGAACTAAGCCAAGGGCATGCTTACTTTATGAGAAAAAATAATTATTATAATTTTATTCCACAATGTAAACAAGCTCTCAAGTGTACTCATCTATGAGAAAACCAATTCCATCTAATGATTAAGATAAAATAACCCTTAAATTAGAGTGAAAGGATTATAATCTCATCTTCATAGTATGCATGTCCCACATGTATATCATAAATGGAATATACACAAAACTACAGGGAAAAACTAATAGAATCGCAATCCTAAGTTTTGGAAAAGAAATTGAGCAGAGACAAGGAATTCAGTTTCATTAAATTAGACTAGTCATTGGAGGATATGAATATGCTTTTGACCATTTCGTAGCCATTTCAGCATATTAATGAATCTAAAATACCCAATAGTAATATTCCAACTGTTCTTATATGAAGATTCAAAATCAAAATTACAGGTATCTTAATAACCAAATGTGTTGCATTAACTCGTAATACAGATATGGCAATTAGCTGAAAGAAATTACGGCAAATGTGGCAAGTTTGTAACTAAAATGTGACATTAATTGCCGTTGAAACAAGCACACAGAGTGAAGCTTTCTTCGACATCACAATGCCAATTTGAACCATAACACATTTCAGACTGTAAGCATATATTGCAGTTCTGAAACATCACAAATAATAAATTACCCAGTTTCTTCTGCTCATCTTCTACCATTTTCTAAATGCCCTCAACATCCATAGCCAAGTGAACATAGGTACTCTACTACTCTCTCTCAATTGCAAATATCAAAATACATATCTAAATCAGTCATTCTATAGAACATGAAAATTCAATATACTCTACTAGATAGATTGAAAGAAGGATTAAAAAAATTCCATATTGCAGAAATAACATCAGCGGATATCCTATCTGGTGTCTGGCTCAACACAGCTGCACAACAAATCTATATTCGGAAATAATATTTCCCACACATCATTAACAACAAAATAAATAATGTAAGCACTAAACACAACCAATAGAAATAAGAAAGGATCTACAAAGAACAAATCTAGAGAACATGACTCAAGCAAGCAGTACTATAAGCACAAGGTTATCCAGACAATTTGTAAGTTACTCAACTGTAATCCACATAGCACCTTATCTCAATGCTGGACAACATTCAATGAATGGAATAATAACAACATACAAACGAATAATAGAAACAGAATCAATATGTCAAAAATATATGTTACCTTGTTTGCAAGCATGTAAAGGCCAACATCTGCATTATACAATGTGGAAAGTCTCTCCATCCGGGGTGTGGGTCGGGATTTCAGTTCCTCCTGAGATATACGCGGGTCAAAAACCCGGGCATTTGCAAAGTCAGGAAAATAGGAGTTCAGAAACCCTTGGTCACCTGTTAGATGACAGACATGAAATTGATTAGGCATGAAAAAGGAAAATTTAGTTCCAAGCCGAATCTTATCTAAGTTTAGCAATTACATCATGCCACATGTTACTTTTATTAAAAAACATCAAACAGTTTATCATGGAAAGTTACCATTTCAATTTCTAAGATATGGCCTAATTAATCCATGGACCACAACTTCAGCTCAATGTAATATTTACATGGAGATATATGCATAGAAACCATAAGTGCAAATGAAACAGCATTGGTGATGGTACAAAACATATCCAACCTTAAACTGTGCCTACCTCCGGTATAAGAATACATGGTGGTCACTTTGCTCAGCATGTCCTTGAACATTTCCCCTGATGGTTCAACTACCATGACTCCAGAATTCAATCTTTCCGAATGTTTTAAGTTTGCACAAAATTTCTGACACTTGAAAAGGTCTTCAACGCTCTTAACCACAATTGTATCAGCATCAAGATATAACACTGTAAATATAAAAAGCATTGAGAAGGATATCCAGCAATTTAACAATATAAAATCTGCATAAAATACAAATGGCCATAATGAATAAAACCTTTTTTGTACTCAGTCATGTTGAATATTTTAAGTTTTGTATAGACACCCCAAAACCTCGTTGGGTGCAATTGATTGGGATTTTCCAGTAGACTTATTGTCTTCACGATCCAGCCATCAGCCTGCAAGGAAATTATAGGGAGACTCAGCATCAATATTTTTCAAAATAGGACATACATGGACGCTAGAAAAGTCAACTTCAGCGGATTAGAAGAGACCTGAAGCAGCTCTTTGGCATAATCAGAAACGCCATCAGAGACCAAAGCAACCATATCCTTGGTAGAACCCGTGTCACGAATTGACTTCCCCAAAACTCTTACACCCAAAAGGAATTCATCACCATACAGAAGTGTGACATACGCCATTTCTGATTTCCGGGATCCAGAAGCTCCATTGAACCCGCACGCCGCAAGAATTGACACAAATAATAGTACAGAAACAAAACATAATCTCGACATTGATATTCCAGCAGGTGGGAATCCGACCCCAGAGTACCAATTTCTAGGTATCTTCTGCTCCCGGCTTTTCCTTCCGGAAGCCCTGATTTCAGTTTAATTATTTGGTCAACATCCTTGCTTGTTCTGCTACAACATCAGAAATGAAAGACTTATAAAAAGGTTGTCATCACAAAGCCATCTTATGTACAACTTTGACCATAAAGAACACGGCTTTTGTTTCTAATCAATGCTGACCAACATACAAAAGTTTGACACAACTACCGCAATGAATGCAAGTAATTTCCCATAAATTTAAATTGAACTATCTGCATAGCCATAACATAAAAGAAGAAAAATCAGCGTTTAAATTGATAATTCCAAACATTTCTAACCTTGAATAAATATAAAAATTGCCAAAAACCAAACAATTCAAACCCTAAATACCCATAACAGTAACATCAGGTATTGAAATTGATAAGAACAAACAATTCAAATTTATTGAAGGAATTTACTTGCAAAAAAAAAAAAAAGAAAAAAACGAAAAGAGATATAACAAAATTGTTAAAATAAACTAGATTTTCTTGATATATGTGGAAGTACCAAGCAGAGAAAGAATCAGAGGAGGAGGAAAAAAAATTTCGAAAAGAAAACAAACTCACCGGATGTTCCAGCGGGCGGCGGCGGACTTAGTCTGTCTCCGGGAGAAAGGCGGCGGCGCAACGTAGAAGTTGAAGGAAGGGGAAGGAGAAGAAGGGCAGTGGGGGATGCGAAGAAGGAAGATTGTATTTGTGCGAGATTCGCCGATTAGGGTTTTTTACTGATATTATTGTTGTTATTATAACAAAGTAAAGAAATCGATTTAGGGCAGTGATGAGCTGGTTCGGTCTCAGAAGATGGGATTAAGGAATTGAATCGCATAGGAACATCACTCTATAACTATGCGATTTTGGATATCTTGGATCAATTACGTCAAAATTCAGAAAATTTTGCTTTGAAAATCACCAATTTTCTTTTACAACATTTTTTTTGTGTATTTTCTTATGAATGAAAAAGATCCTATTTTTATGTAAAAAAACAAAAAGTCAAATGTCCCGGGGCAAAGTAGGGGAGGGAAATAGCCGAAATGACTATAGAACCTTGACATTTAAGGTTAAAGGCTTGGCTACGAGACTATACCATCATTTCTAATATATTTTATGTATTGAAACTAATGTTAATAGTAGATTTTATTTTATTATTATTATTATTACCTTTTTTTTTATGATGTGAGAATATGCACCAATTGGGTAAATGTCCGAGCTTAACCATACGTGGTAGATGATCGGAAGCTTCTGGGGTTTGAACCTATGACCCTCTGCACCACCATGTCATCCATTGCGGGACTATATTTTTACCTTTTTTTTTTTTGGATGACGTGAGACCCGCAATCGCTACCCACCCGAAAGTGCACACGGGGTAAATCCCCGGCCGGACCTAATACTCTTTTGATTATATATGTAATAATATGTTTATAATTTAAATAAAAGTTAGAAGGTATTTGGTACTATGATTACTTTTTTTAAATATAAAATGAATACTTTGAAATGAGACGAACAAAAATAACATATAAAAATGACAAAAATAATACTTTGAATTAAGACGCACAAGTTTCGTTTGCTTAGATTTTTTTTTTTCACATATTTTTTCAAAAAAATTACTACACACATTATTATTTGTTGATAGTAAAAATTCGAAATATAATATTGCTAAAGAAAAGAAAAAATAATTGGAAATAAAATAATGACCTCCAATAAAATTCTCTTGGAATTTTGTCTGTCATCCTTAGAAACGGCTTCTATCTGAACCGTCTAAGAACTCGCTTCTTCGTCCGTTATCAATTTGAACTGTCCGAACTTGCTTATGCGTTGGTAACTTTTGTGACCAACCAACTGTCCATTATACCAAACCATTTCCACGTCGTAACCTTTGTGACCAACTAACTAACTGTCCCAAAGCCCACACTTATATAAAAACTGTCCGTAAGGCCAACCGTCCAACCAACCTAGTCCCAACAACCATCCGACAAAATGACTTTAGCCTACCACTGGATCTAGTCCATCCATTTATCCTTGCTAAATTCAAACCCTAACCTTATTTTTTTTGTGTTCAACATTATTTTTTATATTATCTACCCAACTCTTTATAGCTTATATAAAAAAATATCTTTTTAAATTGTTTTACAAAACAAATACATCTAATTATTCTTTATTTATTCACACTTTTTTATTTTTAATACTAGTACAATAGTTTTTCTCTAGTTCTTTCAAGTTTTTAGACCCTTTCATAACATGAAATTTTATCCAAAATTTCTCCAAAATCATACCTTCGATAGTCGTCAAATGAACTATCCTACCTTTTCAAGGGTAACATTGGTCGTTTGTCGTCGTCGACGACAAATGAAATTGTCCCGTTAGCAGCTCTAATACTCCCTCCGGCCTCCGGGGCACTCCTCAATAGTCCCAACCCGATCAAATAGGATTTTTCACGAGCGCCGTTCCATGTTTCTTTTTTTACCCATTTCGAAACATCATGCTTTCGCTTTCGAAAGGGAAGGAGACGACAATAAATTATGCAACGTGCTCGCATGAATAACGGCGCTAGGATTCGCCTCTTTTACCAGGCTCGAACCATATTGCTTCGCGCCAAAACTCCTCTCCCAGCCGCCCCTCCGCGTGATGGGTCTTAAACATCCCGGGAGGTATCGCAGCAGTTTGGAAGAGGTTACGAGTAGGATCACGCCAAGAACGATGAAGAACCTAGCCAAGTGGAGAATACAAACAAAGTCAAGTCGAAAACTCTAAGGTTGTATTCTTTTGGGGTTTTACTACATATTTTTACTATTCAGACTCTATTTCTTCTCAAAAAATATTAAATCAAACAATTACTTTTCATTTTTAATTGTGTGATGTAATATTTTTTGGAAAAAAAAATTCTGAATAATAAAAATTTGATAAAACTCTCAAAAGAACACAGTGTTACTATTCAAAAATCCAAAGCCAAAAACTAAAACCCACGAACAAAGACACCCCAAGGGTTCTTTGAATTTTCAGTTTAGAAAAATCTAGAAGAAAAATGAGTTGCGGGATGGATACCATCCGAGAAGAAGGAGCGCCAAGGCGAGAGGAGCTGAGGGCAATCGTTCGCCCATGGCGAATACACCGGCGATCACGCCCGTCGTGATTGACGATACAGTTCCACAGGTGGACACTACGATCGCCCTTCCGTGCTTCAAACCGCGAGTCTGTTTCGAAACAAAAAAATGAAATTTTCGACCACGATGCATAGACACGACTAAAATGGCGTACCTGATAAATGAGCCCGGAAGCACTAAACGAAGTGCTGATTAACATGCAAATTAGAAGAAGCGACGCGGAATATCCATGCTCAAAGAATAAGAATCCCATCTTAGATACCACGGATGCGAGCCTGAAATGATAATCGAATCAGCTATTTTCGTGTACGTAAGTTCGAATACAACGGATGCGATAGAATCCTTTGTTTTGATTTTATGTTAGTACCCAAATAAAATGCCGGATTCCAACCCATAAATGATTTCCTCAACGACTTCGAATTGCAACTGCACGGTCGTAGAACATGCGATAGATATCAACTTCAGAAGGCAATTTCGACAGGTATAGTTTATACTAGAAAATTTCACTGCTTACCAGCTCATGCTCTCGTCTCTCGTCTTGAAAGACACGAAGAAACCCGTTAAGAAGTAGCTGGTAGAAAGCACAGAAAAAGAACATTACAGGCACTCAAGTCAAGAATTATCGAAATTTTAGGTTACAAGCGACAATGAGATGCTGAATAAGGCGAGATACCTACAAACACGAAACATATTGAGAATGCCAGTATTGGTAAATGAGAAATCGAAACGAGCGCTGTCTTCTGCTCTTCCCCTCCGGCACCAACCCCTGACAGGAAAGCCGCGACACATTAAAAAATGCCGAACTAGATGATAGAGATTTGTACCATATAGTTAGAATCTACGTTTACGGGACTTATATTACCTATAGTGCCTATAACAGCCAAAACGATTCCGAACCAGTCAACAACATTCATGGTCTCTTTTAGATAGATGTGAGAAAAGAGTGAAAGGACGGCAAGACCACAGCCAGAAACGGGTTGAACAACCGATACCTGCTTGAAGATAAAAAAAAATCAGAGGATCAAATCATCACAATGATTTATTGGAATCAAATAAATACAAGATAAACATTTAAATTATATAAGAGTTCATGAAAGTTACGGGAGCTTGAGACAATGCCAGCAGCATCAAGACAGCTCCAAGAATGTCCATTAAAAATCCAGCAATCCAAGCTCTGTTCGAAGCATATGCTCTAACCACCTGTAAGACATACAGACAGACCCTCTTTCGTACAACTCGCTTGCACGTTTGAATAATATGGCGTTGTCTAATTCAGTAAGAGCATATGTATGACGTTTCAAACAAAAAACCCGAGCAAAAGTACTACCCATAAGCTAATCCCAAAAGATGGCCTAAAAACAACATACAGTGATGCTAAGATTAATCCATAGATGATTGCAAACTTAATTAAGCCACAAACTGAAATTCAAATCAGAAGGGCATACTCCATTGTATCCGAAAATTACTGCTACAAGCCTACAAGAAAATCCTATCATCAATTTTCTCCAGACAAGTATAAACAACAATAGCAGGGGTTGATCCAATTTCACCATCAAAGATTCGATATTTTTGTTAATTAATGGCCAAAAGATCTAAAGAGCCAATTTTATCAAAATACCAATAGAATACAATAGATGCATCTCAAGAAACCTATACATTCAGTATAAATTATTCATTCAACTTCAGCAAAGCCAAAAGTATAAAAACAAGTTTGCTTAAAAGCAAAATGGAAGGCATCATTTTGCTATTTTTCTCTGGACATTATTATTAGATTGAACAAACATGGGCCTCATGCAGACTCTGTTTGGATGAAGAAATCAACATGGCAAATCATCAAAATATTAGTATTTTTAAAATTATAATATATATATATATATATATAATATATTCATAACATAAATAGGTATGACTATTTTTTGTTGGTTTGACCATACAAATTTTTATGCATCAATATTTTGTTTACACAGTCAAACCATCTCTCTCACCTCTCCAAAACTCTAGAAGCAAGCATCTGGCTTGTTTGTTTGTGTTTTCAATCTTGTTCTTTAAAATACCATATTTTTTAATATTTCTAAATTTTTCTAAAACTACAGAAACATCTATCTAAATGAATCTAAACATCAAATCCAACAATTATGCACATCATATTATAAACTTATTTTTTTTATTCAATTTTTTACTGAAGTATTTGCAAGAGTCTTCCAAATTCAAAAGCATATACAAATACATGTGCACCAATACATGAGATTTTAAATCAACATATACATATATATTGTATTATATGATTTCTTGTATTGTATACTACCAACATATTGTTGCTGAATAAATTAATTTATAATCAAAAGAGGTGAGTTTGTGAAAAATTAGTTTGGATTTGATATTAAAATAATATTCGATGAGATTTCTTTTTTGTAAGAAGAATGTGTATTTTCAGTTTTTCATTTTTTTTTTTTTTTATATTAAGGAAAATGCTAAAGTTTAGAAAAGTTTGGCAAAAGATGAAGCATATAAATAATAAAATGCCGACATGAAGAATTGAAAATGATAAATTTAATCAAAGCAGCCAAAAAAAACACGAACCCCACAAGGTCGAAATACAGCATAGATATACAAATCAAGAGCAAAAAAGACTCTTAAAAAACGTCATAATCATCAAAACTTGAAAACAAACAAAGATCGCGACTCAATGGCCGACCATAACTGAAAGAAAACGAAATTAATCAGCGAAACGATGGCGATTCCGTGAGAGATTCACGTGTAAACAAAGGATTGATTTCAAATTGAAACCAGAAGCTCATATGTCTATTCGAAATTACAATTTCAACACCATAAATTACTTCGCACAAATAGTAGAAGGATAAACCCTCGCCTATTCAATAATCATCTGCAGACGGACATACCTTGAGCTTGAAGGAGAAAGGCGGAAGAATTAGAGTTGCCTTTTTCTGGAGGACTTTGCCGATGTTGTTTCCGGCGGAGGCCACTACGGCCAGGCAGATTGCTTCCCACATCTCTCCGCCAACACACAACCGGCGTCGGATTCTCTCTCTGTCCCACTAGCCGCTTTTTGGCAGATATTTTTTTACTTTGTATTTTATGCTTTATAATGTAATAAAAATAAATAAATTAATATTTAATATAAAATTAGGATTTCATAAAATATACGTGTTTTTTTTTTTTAATTATATTTTTATTTTTTATTTTTTCAAAAATATCACATTAAACAATTATTTTTTTATATATATTATACCACAAATTTATTTTATATTAAACTAAAATCGACAAAGAAACATACCTGACTAATACCACTTAACACTAGCATGATATTGTCCGCTTTGAACTGAATCCAGTCTGATTTGTTTTTAGATATTCTCCAAAAGGCCTCGTACTAGTGGAGTTTACTTGGGAGTTATAAGATGTGTAATTTTCTTCCCCACTTCCAACGTGGGACTTGGGTTTGCATCCCAACAGATATAATTTTATTTTTAAGAAAATAATATATAATTTTATTTGTAATAGTTATTAATTATAAATGTTAATTTTCATATATGTAATTTTTAAATAAAATATAAATTATATGTATATGAATCTAATGTAAAAATAAATATACTTTTTAGGATAAAAATTGAAGTTTATGGTTAAAGTAAAATTACTGTAGATCAACAACATTTTTATTGTAACAACTGCAAAAACAGAGTGGAGTGTTGGAGATGGCCTGAAGGGGGCTTAATTTTTAATTGTTGTAGGAATAGCACATTTTATATACTTCTTCAATCCTATAGTGGTATTTTAATTATAATTGGTAGTTAAAAGTAATGTAATGATATTTTTGTATTTGTTTTTTTGATGTGATATAAAGTAAATGTATGTGTGAAAAAAATTGAGGTATTTAATAAAATGTTTACTTTGTAATTTGACGTCTCAAAATAAAAATATGTTGGACGGAGGAGGAAGTATCTATTATCTGTTTGCTTTTTTTCTTGCAAATATTTTTAAAAATATTAGTATTATAATAGAAATAAATGTAAACAGACTAAATTAGTTTTATTAGTATTGTATAATATAAATGTAATGACATTTGTGTAATATATTGTAAATTAGAAGAATATTTGTAATATTACATACCGTTACTAAAAATTGAAATTGATAAATTGACCAAAATGAAAAAATGGATAGATTGTTAAGGGATTGACGGAGTATATAATATATAAATATTTATGGTGTGTTTATCTTGTGAAATAGTTTTAAGATTTTTTTTATATTAAATATAAAAAATTATGTAAATAATATAAAAATAATAAATATAAATAATATATTACTTCCTTCGTCCTACTTACCATGTCTACATTTTCATTTTCGTTGGTCTCTCTATCTTGTAATTTTTTATAAAAGAATTATACACTTTAATCTTATTTAAAAAATTCAATTTATAGTTTTTGTTATTTTAATTATACTAATTAGTTATCTTCATCTTAATTTATAATTATTTTTATTATATTATAATTATTTTCAATAATACATTCTTATTTATTTACTAATTATAATATTTCTAAATTCTGGTGTTTACAGTAAAGCGGACATGGTAACCGGGACGGAGGAAGTACTTCTTTTTTAAAAAAATTCTATATGTTTATTTTACAAAAGGAGCACTCCCCTATATTTTTTGAATTATTGATTTTTAAAAATTTGGCGGAGTATAATGTTGATTGTATATTGTATAAAAATATATTATGCGGTAAAATTAATTATTGTATGTGATATATGAAATTATATTGTGTATTGTTAATTTACATATTATATTTGTATTATATTAATATATATAATATAATATCTGTAATAATATAATATGTTACATATGCATGAGCTGAATTTTAACCGCCATAGTAGCATTGTAATGCTTACATAACACGTAGTGTTTTTTTTAAAATGTAACATGTAATATTATTCAACATTCTACGGCTTGTATATAAAAACATTGATAAATAACTGGCTTTAATAGTATAAACTTTTTAATGTAAATATTTATTTTTGTATTGTTTAAAATAAACAAAAAATTATATTTTACTTTTAAAAGAAAATCCCACTTAAAAAAAAAAAATTAAAATAGTATCACATCAAAATTAAAAGTTTTGTTCTCTTTTTTTTTTTTTAAAATAACATTTTAGTAAAAGAGATAATTCTACTTACATTTGGTATTCATTTATTTGTTTAGGTATAAAATTTTGAATATTAATATTATATCTATATATATAATATAAATTAAATGAAAAAAAATATTTATGTTAGTGTTGTATAATATTAATATAATAATACGACATAAAATTTGACTGAAGATAAATAATTTTAAAAAATTCAAGAAAAAAATAAAAAAAATATATTACAAATCTTGTAAAAATAAAATTATAGATCGAAAACTGGCTATCCAGTTATTTGAGATTCTTACGCCAATAAACCATAATATAATAGTAATAATAATATAACTTGATTTGTCGGATCTAATTTGCAGGATATTAGTTTCGACAGAGGTTTATTCAATGTGCACTTTCAGATAAATATATATATACTCCCTCCGTTCCGGTGCAAGATTGCCGTTTTTTTTTTGCACGTAGATTTTTTAATATTAGTATTATAATTGGTTGTAGTAAAAAAGACGAAAATACTCATATTAGTATTGTGTAATATAAAAGTAACGACATTTGTGTAATATAATGTAAATTTGAATACAATTATTAAATTAGGAAATAGTAACTTTGTTTTGAGACGGACGAAAATGAAAAATAACAACATTTCAAACGAGATGGAAGGAGAATATATATATATATATATATATGCATATGACAGACAGGCAGGCAGGGCGGCGCGTGGGAATCACCAGCATCCATAAACGACTTGCGTGTAGCGATCCTTAAGCCAGCGGAAACTCCGGCGGAAGGAGCCCTTGAGTTTCCCTTGGACGGAGTAGGCTTTGTAGCTCGCCACTCTTCTCTTCCTCTGGAACTCTGGATCATTCACGCTCCTCCACCCCAACACGCCCGTGTCGCCGCCCCTCAATTGCCTCCTCCCCTTCCTAAGCTTCGGCGGCGCCGCCTCCTCGTAGTAGTAGTAGTTGGTGGAGGAAACGCTGCTGTAAGACCTGCAGAAGTCGCCGGTAGGTCCATAGTAAGGCTCTATCTGTATCTGCATCTTCCCCCCGCCGCCGCCGTATGATTTGGATCTGCATTGGTCCATGGAATGGAGGTTAGGGTTTTGCGGTGGAGGTCGTTGAGCTTGTGAGGGAGGCTTTAGGGTGACAGGTGGGTGATGTTAGTTGCACAAACTCAAATTGGTATAGTTGGGTTGCCTAATGTAGTGTCAATAACTTGCCTACCAGAGAAATAATGCACGATTTCTTACGTCTCTTATTTGTTTATTCAAATGTTATTTTTTTAAAAATAAATATATATTTTTTTTGTTATAACTAAAAGTATCAATTTTTTTTATTTCGTTTGTCCCATTTCGTAGTATCTATTTTATAATTTTAGTAAAAGTAATCATATATCGGTATTAAAATATTTTTAATTTTTACATAAATTACAAGTATATTATTATACATAAAATTACTTTTTACACAAAAGTAAAAAAACAAAAATGTCAAAACCTCATATGCAATAATTAATTTTAACATACACACATTATAAATATAAATATAAGCATGTTTTTATTTCAGATTTATCCAAAACTTGTTAGATTTTGTCTAGATAGATACTTTTGATTTTTTATTTTCTAAATAATAATAATAATATGTTTTGTTTGATACAATAGATATTTAGTGTGATTTTCTTTCAAAAAAATTAATATTATTGATTAATGTCAAAATTTTAAAAAATAGAATTTAAAAAGGGTAATACTAAGCCTTTCCATCGTTAAAAAAGTAAGCTCAAATGTTTTTATGTTTTAATGTGATGTGTATTTGTTGTTATTTGTTATATTTTATAGTAAAATAGAAATATATATAAATAGTAAAAATTTTGAATTTAAATAGTTGTATGACTTGATATAAATAAAAATTGATGTGATATTTTGAATGTAAAATTAATTTTTAGTATAATATAACAAATAAAAAATAAGTGTCTTGATTTGATATTTTTAGAGAAAAAATTATGTGAAAGTAGTAAAAATCCCACAAAATTCTTCAAATAATCTATTTTTTTTTTTTATGACATATGCTAAATATGCATTTAAGTAAATATATATATTGAATAAATAATTAAGTAGTGAGAATATTATCGTATCATCTACATATTAATATGTTGAATGAGGTTTTTGGTAATAATCAAGGAATAGCACGATGGATATTTGCATGATGCAACTGAGTAAGGTGATTTTCAACCCATCTAAACTTTATTTATCCAATTTTATCTCCAAATATGTTGCTACGGTAGTTTTACTCCAACCATAACTCCATTTTTCCTTATTATTCTTCAAATATTCAATTTTTTTATATTATTTTAAACAACTTTTTATTTTTATAATCTTAAATAATTTTTTAAAAAAATTAAAAAAATAAAAATATAATTTAAAAGTCAAATTTTATAATTTTAAAAATTAAAAAATAAAATAAAACAAACACACCATAAATGGCGTTTGCTATAGTGCAATACAAAAAATGGTGCTGTAATTGGCTCTGGATTGGAGACCGGCGGCGGCATAAATGCAGTTGAAACGTCAAAATTGACGTGTGGTTGGAGATGCACTAAGGAGAAACAAATAATATACTACTGCGAATAATCTAGTAGATCAATTAAAAGGTATTGTGTAAATAAAGTTACTATCAAATTGATTTTATATCATTGTTAGTTTATATATTGTCTTTTATTGTCTATATATTGTCTTTTATTGTCTATTTATACATGTGATGTTATTTATATTTGAGGTATTTGTTACATGCCCCACTATGATGAATAATGCCACAAATTCATAAAACCGTCAGTGGACTTACAATCGTCAGTTCATTGGTTCAAATCCTCGACGTCTCCAGTTTATTTGTCACATATGGTTCGTCTAGTGTGACTTATTTGTCGAATTTAGTTTGCATGGTATTAGGTTCGGCCAGACGTTTATCCTGCGCATTTTCGGGTAGCGACTGTGGGTTCCCACATCATAAAAAAAAAAAAATAAATACTTGCAATTTTCGATGCCTCCAGGTCACCTGCCGTATGACTGTGGTTCACCTAGTGTGACTTGTCTGTTGGTCTAATTTGTAAAGTATTAGGTTCAGCCGGAGTTTTTACTCAGTGCACAATTTCAGGTAATAGTTGTCTGTTCTCAGGTCATAAAAAAAAAAAGAAAAAAAAAAAAGTAGTCGCAGTTTGTGGTAGACAACAACAGGATATTAGGTTAGTTTACTCCGTGGGCAATTTTGGATAGCGGCCGCGCATTCCCACTTAAAAAAATACTTGCATTTTGTGGTAGACAACAACAAACAATAGCATGAAATCGACAAGAAGATAACAAGAAAAAACAAACCAAAAATAAAATTACACATTACATGTAACAATAAGTGAGACCAAATTCAATTCTAGAAGAAGATGTAATGTAATGTAAAATATAAGAACATAATTCTCTATACATGTTGCTTCATTCCAAATTCTTTCAGTCTCTCAAGCTCAGGCAAGATCTCACTCCCAAGATCCGGTCGATCCTTCTTCCTCAACTCGACACATTTGAGCGCCAATTTGGCGTAGCCAAGCGTCTCCTCGACCGGCCAATCCGGCACGGCCGCGTCGAGGAGATCGGCGAACGTCCCCTTCTGAATCGCCCTCTCGACGTAATGCGTAAGCCCCATCGGCGGCTTCGCCGTGATGATCTGCAGCAGCATCACCCCGAGCGAGTAAATGTCCGATTTCGTCCCCAGCTTCCCTGTCTGCTGATACTCGGGATCGATGTAGCAAAACGTGCCGGCCGCGGACGTCATGTGGTATTGCGTCACCGAATCCGCCACCGACGGCGGCACCAGCCGCGCCAGCCCGACGTCGCTGATCTTGCACGTGAAGTTGTGGTCTAGTAAAATGTTCGCCGGCTTGAGGTCGCGGTGGACGAGCGGCTCGGGCTTCGCTTGGTGGAGGAACAAAAGCGACGTCGCGATGTCCGCCGCGATTTTGAATCGAATCCCCCACGGTATCGGCGGAGTGTTGCCTTTTCGAAAGAGTCGATCCTCGAGGCTCCCGCTGTCCATGAACTCGTAGACGAGGCAGCCGTATTCCGGGCATGCGCCTAATAAGAGTACCATGTTCGGATGCCGTATGCAGCTCAGGATTTCAACCTACGCGTTGTCGAAAAGATCGATTAAAATTTTACGACGACGACGAGAAAGAACGAGAATTGTAGCTAGGTAGATTTCTTATGTACCTCTTGTTGGAACTGTTTTCGACCTTGCACGGCGTCGGGCCGGAGGACTTTGATGGCGACGGGAGTATGGTCGAGTTTGCCTTTGTAGACGGGACCGTAGCCGCCTTCGCCAATTTTCATCGAGCTTGAAAACTCGTTGGTTGCGGATTTTATTTCCTCGATCGAATACTTTCGGTAGCGGACGTCGCTCTGCGACAAAACGTCTAAAGCTCGGTTCTTGGCTTCGGCTTCTCTTTCCGCTCTCTGCTCTGCGTATTTTCGTCGTTGCGCTTCCTTCTCCGCTATTCTCTGCGCTTTCTCCGCTGCTTCAATGGCTGCTCGGCATTTCGCTTTCTCCATTTCGACAAGTGCGAGCGCCGCCTCCTCGGCGAGTCGCGCCTGCTCGATTCTGTTCTTTTCGTCGACTTTTATTTGTTGAAGCTCATCCACCTGAAGAACATAGGGAAATGTTTTTCAATTTTTTGTCGAAAAAAGTTTCGAGCGTTGGATCGAAAGCGTTTTTCGTCGAATTTTCGTACCCGGTGTTGAGCTGAGACTGCTTGCTTGCAGGCAGTTTTGTACATGTTCATGGTTTGCTTTACTTCCAGCTTCAATCTCTGAACTTCTCCCTGTCATTAGTTTTCGAAACAACGGTGAATCACGCGATAAAATTTTCGTATCCGTAACGGTTCGAAAGTCTTACGTTGTCCTCCGCATCGGCGCCGGTTCCCATTCTGGCGGGGCTTGGAATCTCGACTCTCGTTATGTCGCTCGATTCGTTGTCGAGCTCTAGAAAATCGATGTCGAGCTGATTTAGGTTCGACAGATTTCGGGCGCTGCTCCCTCTACTAGTCGGCCTTAGCATCTCTGCGTGATGATCCATCGATCTTTTCTCGCTGTTCATTAGGTGTCCCCTGTTCATAGATTTCGACGACGCGTATATGAAATAATTTGGTTAAGCGAAAGACGCGGGACGAGTTATCGAACAGACGAATTACCTGCTGCCGGTGTCCGTTTCCAATCGATTCAGCTTTGGATGCGGCAATTGAGGCGGGCTCGAACTCGATGCATGTCTTGGACGGATTGACTGCGCCTTGCCTTTCGAAATTATGTAGACGGAGCAGAAATCCGGCGCAGCCTTGTTCACTAGAGTCGCAATATCTTGACTCCAAAACCTCCTACGCATCGAAACATATGTATGACATATAAAATACACAATTCTGAAAGTATCCTATAGTATAGTGCTGATTTGAATCGATCAACGTATTAAAAACTGATAGAAAACATATATTTTTAAGTAACCTAATTAGAGTGCTGATTTGAATCGGTCAACATATTAAAAACTGATAGAAAACATATATTTTTAAGTAACCTAATTAGTTTCGAGTGTTCGATTTAGCATTGTACCTCGCGAGGGCGTTCCTCGACGATGAGCCGAGGACTATACTTGTAATGTGGTGTTTGTTGATGTACTCCAAAAGTGTGTTATGAACATCTCCCCCTTCTAGGACAACTTCTCGTACGTTGATCTACAAGGTTGTTGTTGCGACGGATTAAGGTTAACGATCGAATAACAAACAGAAAACGTAAAGAATACCAGAGTTACATGGTTTATCAACAACGTGTTGATTACGTCCACGGATAGAAACGAAAAATAAAGATTTCATATCTCTAAGTCTATTAAGATAAACAAAGAGAATACACCGGACATGGTCAGCACCGTAAAAACTCATCGAAGTAGTAAATTAGATTCAAGACATATTAAACAGTTGTACGTATAGAACAAATCATTTTATTCGTAATTTAATTTACACATCGCAAGGTGTTTGATAATTATACGATCTTACTTACGCTTTTACGCGCACAATATGCGCGGAAAGGAGCGAAGATAGGCTCCTCGGCTAGCCCACAATTGACCTCCCCCAAGCTCACGCCATCTACAATAAAATTACGGAGAATCACGTATCTGTCGAATTGTTACACGGTTATCCAAAAATTTATTACGGGCATTGGGTACCTACGTTTTATCCGAACATGGATCAAGACAAGAGTTTGGCCGTAGGTGACAAGTTGATCAATGGCCCATCGGACGGCGATCGTGCTATGCTTGTCCTTGTCGACGCAAACGTATATGTGATCCTTTTCGTCGGATAACATTTTGATCCGATCTCGATATACGTTTCCGGACAATGGCTCTAATATAAAAGGTAGCGGCGCAATGACGTCAATACCACAGGAGCAACCGCGGCGTCGCCACCGTCATTGCCAACGTGACGACCACCACTTTTTTATTTTTATTTTTTTTCTTATTTTCTCGTCAATAAAAGAGAAAAAGAAAAAGAAAAAAGAAAATGAAGTTACTATAGGAAAGATACTATTTTTATCTTTCCTCCATTGTCGTAAATCCACAGATTTTGAGTGATGTCTGAATTCACGAAGTCAATGAAAATATATGGCAAAAAAATTAAAAAAAAAAGGGGATTACAAATATAAAAAGAGAAGAGATTGGGGGGTAGAATGTAATAAGTTAATATGAAAACGGGCAATGTGTTTCCGACGTCGTTTTGAACAGAAAAGTTTCAATTTGAAGATTTTCTTGTAGTTAAAACCCTAATTTCGATCTATAGTAGGGTTGCGTCGTTCAATTCGGAATTCACTGGGAGGTTGAGTACTGCTGGAATTGGCGAGGTCTTTTCTGCCGTGAGAATTCAATTGATGAGTGATTGAGAATGTCGACGGTGTATGTGTTGGAACCGCCGACGAAAGGGAAAGTGATATTGACGACGACGTACGGGCCGTTGGATATCGAGCTTTGGCCGAAGGAGGCGCCCAAGGCTGTTCGGAACTTTGTGCAGCTGTGCCTTGAGGGCTACTACGATGACACGGTTTTCCACCGTGTTATAAAATCCTTTCTCGTTCAAGGCGGGGATCCTACTGGCACCGGAGAAGGTACATATTCTATTGGCTGCATCGACTTTTAAGTCCCAAATTAGCATTGTAACCTATAGGATAGGTTTATTGTGTATGTTAAGGCATTTGCGAAGGTCTTATCAGTGAATTTGCGACTCATTTGTGTGGTTCTATCTGTTACCCCAATCTGAAAAATTTATGGGTTTCTGTTGTTTAGTTCTTTACTGAGTTTATTGTTAATAGTTTGAAATACATACATACATATATATATATATAATTTATTACTTTATATCATAATTCGTTGTTGGAACTACATGGTGAGTGATGATAATGCAAAAAAGATTTCATTGTTTCGAGCAAACTGTCGTCTTTAATAAATGTGTTGATTTTTTTACCTCACTTTTTCTATGAAAAGTTGATTTGTCTTCTATTTCCAGGCGGTGAGAGTATATATGGTGGTGTTTTCCCTGATGAATTTCATTCTCGCCTCAGATTTAAGCACAGGGGTTTGGTTGCATGTGCTGGTGCTTCTGGCCCTAATTCGAATGGCAGCCAGTTCTTTATTACCCTCGATCGATGTGATTGGCTGGATAAGAAGCATACTATATTTGGAAAAGTAATCATTGCTTAATGTGTTGGGTATGTATGAAGATTTTATTGCGCTTGACATCTTGGAATTGAGAATATGTGTAATTTATTTTTACAGGTAACTGGAGATTCAATATACAATCTATTACATTTGGGTGAAGTAGAGACCGATCAAAATGACAGGCCTGTGGACCCACTTCCGAAAATTGTTTCAGTTGAGGTAATAGGATGCTTTTTTAAAGAGTTTCTTAACTGTGAGTGTTATGGGGTTTGATCTCCCATTGTATTTTTTTTAGCTCATTTATCTGTTAAAATAATATTTTCAGCGTTGTTCATGGGGCCAAGCCATTGCGGATTTTACACACTTTTTTCACATGACAATTATATTTCTTGCTTTTTATTTTTATTTTTCATTCATGCATCTTTCGAAGTGTTGATTCAATTTGTCTTTTTGTTTCTGTATTATTAGCAGTTCCTGTACCTGTCCTACTGTTAGTTGGCTGTTTTTAGATCAGATGAGATTGACAAAATAGAATTCATATTGCTGTGTCAATGGTTCAGTTAATGCTGATAGATCCTCGTTGATTGCTTCTTTTGTTCTTCGTTTTCTAACTGTACCTTGGACTGTGTTTGCATGTTTTTTTTATTTTTCATATACGCTGTTCAGGTGTTATGGAATCCATTTGATGACATCGTGCCAAGGAAAATCCGTGTGCAAGCTTTGCCATCATCAGAAAAGAAAGAAACAAAGCAGAAGGTCACCAAGTAGGTTCCGTATCTGTGCTCCTTTATATGTACTGTTACATATTTTCTAATAAATAAACAGGAATACAACTGTTTCTTGTGATTTTGGTGCATAGAAAGTTGAACTTACTATCATTTGGGGAAGAAGCTGAGGAAGAGGAGATTGAACTTGCAGCTGTTAATGCTAAGATAAAAAGCAGTCATGATGTTTTAAATGATCCTCGCCTCCTGAAGGAGAACACTGAAAATGATTTGGTAATGATATAATAGTGTTGGTAAATTGTTATTTTTATTTCTCTATCGGTGTTCTTCCTCACATTCGGTGTATGTTGTAAAAGAATACAATTAATTGAAGGGCAGAATAATGTGGTGTTAAACCTTAGATTGCATAATTGATGTGCAACTTTATTTGAACAACTATGCTTAGATTACAGAACTTTTACCGATCCTTATGAATTTGTTTTACTATTCTCTTGTTGGATTCATATTGGAATTTTATTTTCTTTCAGTATCTATTAATATGCATCAATCATACTATATATATGGGAAAATTGTTTGGAATTTACTAAATTTCACTAATTCATATTTGATGTAACTTTTGATTGCAGAATTCTGAGGAAAAGCAAAAACCAAATGATTCACATTTGATTGTAAGAGAAGCTCTAAGTTCAAAGAAAGAGCAAAGAAAGGAATTGGCATCTGAGGATGCTGAAGCTTTTGATGATAGCGACGAAGATGAGGCTGGGTTTGATGCTCGAATGCGCCAACAAATACTAAGAAGAAGGAAGGATCTTGGAGACTTGCCTGCTAAGAAAGAGTCAAGCAAGGGTTAGTTAATTATTTTGAATTCACTAGTTTAGGCTTGCTTGTGCAGTGACAGAATTTCTGCGAACAAAATGGCTTTTAGAGCAAATTCCTGTGTCAGCAGTTATTGTGGACTAAAATGATAAGCCAAACCAGTCATTGTACCCTGCAGGAACAGTATACTGTTCTATCTGATCTGTCAATATTTTCATGATTTCTCGATTGGCTTGCGTCTGATTATGCATGGCATAGTTATTTCTAATTATGTTGGTGTTGTTTCCTCAGTGCCTATTTAATTTTCTGATTTTTCATGTCAAAACTTGTCAAATATATAAATGTATACATAGATAGATATTAAGGAAAAGTGGAACTGTCATTTGCTTTAGAAGTATTTGTTCAATGTTCAGTTTTAAGTCTCAATATTTTTCTAAGCAGCTGTAGATTCATCTCTAATTATCTGTACTCATCAATTACATTGGCGCAGGTTCAGGATCAAGGAATCCCGCAGCTTCTCCACCCAGGTATGATGACTTTGTGTGGACATTGATTTTTACTTTTGTTGTTAACAATGTATATTTTTTCTCTGATCGAGTTCCAAAGTCAGTGCTGCTGTATTATAGATCCGTAAATGTAACTAGGTAATAGTAGCTGGGCCATTCTCGAAATTTTACCTATGTTACGGTGCTAATGCTGATGAAAATTGCAAAGTTGGCATTGCTCTATCTTTGGATATCACTGATAGTAACTTAAACTTGAGTCTTAGGTTTTTTCCTTCATGCAGTTCTTCCTATATTTTCTTTCAAAGCGTACTCGATTTGAAAGTCAGGATATGAGAAAGAAAAGACCAAATCAGTTTTGTAAACAGAACACACTCGATAGATAATATCTTTTTTGCAATCATTTTCATCAATGTAATATTTACAGTTTTATGTACCTGTTTTAAATTCAATCCGAAATTGATGGTCTGAACTGTTGTATTATATCCTATGATTTGGTTAATCTTTGTGCAACTCAATATTTCGCTAGGAGGTTCTTGAATGTTAATTATCTTGTGCAAATGAGTTGTGTCACCATAGCATTACCATGGCCATGGATTTATCTGCGATATTGTCTCTCGTAAACTTGAATCTCAGTGTCATTGTTCGTGCAAATAACTAATGGTGGCTAGACACTTCTTTTCTTCCTCCATCCCTAAGATTGCTAGGCCGCATGTTATGAGCTTCTATTTTATGTTGTGCTTTTGTTGCTTTCCAGATCTAAAGTTGCCAGCGATGACGAAAAGCCAAAAGTAGACAAATTATTTCTGAAGAAAAAGGGTATAGGCTCCGAAGCCCGAGCTGAACGCATGGCTAATGCAGACTCCGATTTACAGTTGCTAAATGAAGCAGAACGAGAACGACAGCTGCGGAAACAAAAGAAACATAGGCGCCAGGGGCATGAAGACGAGGTATACTTGTACTCTTATTTATTTTATTTTATAAATGTTTGTTGAATACCTTTCAAAATTTCTTTTATCTTCTATATGCTGGAGCAAAGTTGGATAATCTACTGATAGATACGTCTGCACATTCTATTCAGGAGTTCATGCTGTTTGTGACTGTGTATGGAATATAGTTATTTTTCTTATGAACTGCTTTACTTACCAGCCTGCAATGTCATAAATGTGCTAGATGTCACTACCTATAGCTAGAGCAACCAATATTTGACTAGCGTTTCTGGAATAATTATACACAACTAAAATAAAGGGTGGGGCAACCGAGACCTGAACCTTAATTTCCTTTAATATGCTACCCATTTGAATTAATACGAGTGGCATGGATAGGAAAAGAAGTTATTATCGAGAGTTTTCATGCTGCCTGCCCTCGGAGAACTGGATGTAAGAACTAATGGTTCTCTGAGATAAATTTGTCGTAGTGATGCAAGAAAAGAGAGCAGAAGCTATTTAGATTCTTTGTGTCTATAGATTGGTTATTTACTAATGTATTCATGTTTGTTCTAGATCCTCGCAAAACTCGAGAGGTTCAAATCAACTTTCTCCACAAAGTCTGGCGCAACTAGCAGTGAAAGTGCCAAGAACGATGCTGATTCATCAGATTGGATGACGGTTCAGCTAAAGTTTGCTCCCGAGCCTGGCAAGGTTATTTCTTTCGATTGCAGTTAGTTTCAAAATCTATGGTTTCTGCTTTCGTATGGAAGATTTGCTATGATAACTGATCAATTGTTCCACTACAGAATAATATGTCCCGGAGTGAGGACCCAAATGATTACGTCGTCCACGATCCCCTCCTGGAGAAAGGGAAAGATAAATTCAATAAAATGCAGGCGAAGGAAAAGCGAAGGCAGCGAGAATGGGCCGGGAAGTCGCTTACTTAAAGAAATGAAGAGTTTGGTAATGAAAGACACAGTCACTTTTGACGGGCTGACTCTACACTGCGACAGCTGCAGCAGCAAAAGTCTGTATCGAAGATGGAACTACTCTTCCCGGATTGCAGGTACGTCGACAAAGAATGGTTATTTCGACTAATCTTGGTGAGATCTATTATAGTGTCTCCTTCTTTGCTGTGTCATTTGTCGATACATATTGTGCGATCGAGGTTATCCGAGGGAGCAATGTAAGTTTAAATTGTGTACAAGATGGATGCCATTTGATTGCTCTTGTGATGGATTTCGTTGTTGTGTAAAGCACTTGTGTTGATGTTCTTGCAGCGGGTAAGATAAGAATATGTTCTTTGGCAATTTAATTTTATTTCGAACTTTTTTTTTTTTTTTTTTTTCAAAGTAAAATTCAAAAGAAGAGTCTGAGACTTTGTGGTAAGACTTCGTAGAGGGAGCATTTGTCCAAACAATGGTTTTTTCATTAGTCATTGGATGTGCAAGAACATGTCCAGTTTAAAATGAAACGAATTGTAATTAAATTTTTAGTGACTGTAAAATAAAAATTTTATCAATTTTTTTTTAAATATATTTTATTCAAAAAATGATAATTAAGATTTTTTTTTTCAAATTATTTGCTTAACATATTTATTTTAATATAACATTAAAAATCTTATGCAATAAAAAAAATATGTACAATATTTTATATATTTAAAATAATATTATACAATTTACCTTTAATTTTATTCAAAATATTACAATTATATCTGTTTCTTTATTCAAGAATTGTTCAAACAAATGAACATTTTTTCAAAAAATATAGATAAATCGAACAAGAATAAATAATTAATTGGAATATTTTTTTTTAACTAATAAAAATTATGAAAAAATATTTCTAATAACTTTAAAAAAATTATAAATTATATATGATATTTTATGTTTTATAAGATCATATTTTAGTACAATTTTTTAAAAAAATTAAAAAAATTAAATATTTAAATAATAAATTAAATGTAATATTTATAAAATTAAAATACCTTTTTTCATTTTTAATAATTGTACTGCCTGTTAACTTAGGGTGTGTTTGTTTGAAGGATTGGATTTAATATACATTATTCATTCTATTTTTTCTCCCCAAAAACATCAAATCAAACACCTATTTTTCATATTTTATATTATACTAAAAATCAATTTTATATTCAAAACATCACATCAATATATCACATCATACAACTATTTAAATTCAAAATTTTTCATATTCAAATCCTAACTCAAAATCCAAACTCTCAAACAAACACACCCTTAATAAATACTCTTTACCGTACTAACAGGAGTATTTTTGTCTTTTTTACTACAATCCAATATAATACTAATATTAAAAAATCTACGTGCAAAAAAACAAACACCGCCCTTCCAACGGGACGGAGAAAATAATATAATTTTTAAAAATTATAAAAAATAAACAGTAAAAACATATATATATATATATAATGCACCATTATTTCTCTCTATTTTCCCTGCATGGATGTGTGAGAGAAATAAAAATAAAAAAATAAAAAAATTTATTTTTCAAATTCAATTTATCTAACTCAAACAAATAAACACTTTCTCTTTCTCTTTCTCTACTACCAATTCCCAGTACCAAGCCCCCCATAATTAACTCTACATTTCCTTTTCATACCCCCCCAAAAAAAAAAAAAAAAAAAATGTAATGGCCATGAACATGAACAAATTAAGGTAAGAACAAAAGTATGGATGGGGCCTTATTACATAAATAACATATAAAGACAAAAATCCAACATAAAAAATTATAAATAACAAAAAGAAAGTACCACGAGAAAGTAAGAACCAAGTCCCCAATCATAATTCACGCTCTCTATAAAAAACCCGAAACAAATTGTCTTCAAGAGCCGCAAACCTGTGCTGTTAGCGAGCGAATCATTGAATGGATATCGTCTAATACTTCCTGTGCGCGAGCTCCTTGACAGCGTCCGGAAGATTCTTCTCGTTCTGAATACTTTTCACCCATGCGGCATTGATGTGAACCCTTTCGATGCTTTGCCTTAAGGTCCTTGCCATATAAGGCTTCTTTCGGCTCTCAAAGAATTGTTCTATTTCTGCTGCCTTTTCGTATGAGGTGAACTGACGGGAACCAAAAATATTATTACCACAATCATTTTATGTAGATAAATCTTAAAAAGTATGTTTGATAAGAGCACCAACCGGGGACACGACAGCACTGACATAGCGGGTGATTAGGAATCCAGCTCCGTAAGTTTTACAGATCACATCCCAATTGTGCTGTAAAAAAAATCATCCATTCAAAAGGTTCATAATGGTAGAAAAAGGTTCATAACTTAATTTTGTGTATAGTAATTTTATTCCTTGGATTTGTAACTTACTTTCAGCCAATTCCATGCCGTCTCCCGAGCTTCACGACTAACAGAGAGTCCATAGACAGCATCCTGGCTTCTAACCTACTTCATGAAGAATATGTTTAGAAAATAAACCATTTACAAACTAAAGAAGATTGACATTACCTCAGAAGATAACAGGAAATTCAAAAACTCGTCAATGATTTCAGGATCCCGACAAGAAGGCAGAGAAGCTGAGCAAGATATGACACTTTGTTAGTACTTGAAACATAAGCCAAAGTATAAATGGTTGGGATGATGGTAACTGTACCTAAAATTCGTGTTTTCTCCTGGCTGAGATCAGTTTCTCTGTATAGTTTCAGAAGTGAATCATACCCAAATCTATTTGATTTATTTGCATTCAGAACAACAGCAACATAAACTGCCTGAAAAATGGAAGAGAGAGAGAGAGAAGAAAAAAAAACACAAAGTAAGCAAAACAGCAAAAATTTATCCAATCTTGATTAAAGTTAATAGGATGTGTCTTTGTGACCCTTCGCAAATCAGGAGGGAGAACAGATGTGTTCTTATCATCCAAAAATATGCGGAATCGCCTGTCCGCTTCATTTAGTGTTTCTTCATCTCCGAAAGAAGCCAATGCTGTCAAGAGCTCCCCTCTTAACATGGCATCAAGATGGCTCTCCCCTTGTTTCGGGTCCCACCCAAGTCTCCTGTTAAAGAAATGAACAGCATACATATTTTACATTCATTAAGTTAAATAACAAACTATCAGTCAGAAACACTAGTAAGGCATTAGGAAATAGCTTAGTTTGTGCAGAGCGGCTTTATTGCTTTGAATAAACAATCGGCTCACAATTTGCAGGGCACAAAACTATGTGTGAGCTAGAATTTTGATGGCTGTTTCCAGATTGATATCCTCTTAAATCAAATTTATCATATGAGTACACAAACTTCTGAAAGGATAATTGAAGGATTAAACGGTAAGTGCTCAAATCTATGTGTGGCATGGATGAAAGGAGACAGACGAAATGCAAAGACATAGGTTAGTTAATACTATAATTTATGTTGAAACAAATTAGAAAATAAGGTACAAACCCAGCAGAATTCTGGAAAAGGTTAATGAAGAACAGTTTGAGGTCACCAAGCAATTCAGGTGCAGCATCAGCCACAATTCTAGCCACTTTAGAAGCTATCTGTGGGAACCAACCAAATTAATGTTAAAGAGAACGATCAAGGATGAAAAACAATTAAGGACTCTATTAAAAACCTTACGCCTATCAAATTAGATAAGACTGTATAGTCGATCTCCTCTCTAAAAGAACCCATCAAAGCAAGCAAAGTGCTCAAGGGTTGCTGGCATGCCATGGACAATGAATAGTAGTCATCCAATATTCCTAATCAGAGAAAAATAAACTGAAATTAATATTCCAAGACAATTAAAATTAGATTGAAGAAAGGATGATATTTATACTATACCATATTTGTCATTGGTTGACATGCTTTTGCTCTCTATTGCATCCCGAAGTCTAGCTGATAAGTCCTCATCATACTTAACTCGGAAAAAACCTGTCTGGTCCACATTAACTTTGATCCAAGGGCGGCCAGATGATGTCACAGAACCTAATACCTCCTTAACATCATGTGCCTCACTTTTTGATTGCAGCAAGAAACTTTTACGAGTATCATAAGAGCCACAACATAGAGTGACAGGAACAACCCACTGCCCATCACCACTTGAACCACTCAACAAAAATTGCGCCTATCAATAAATGACAAGGAAGAAGCAATCAATTTTCCAGAAAACACCAAAGGTGAGAAGATGTTACCATGCAGTCAGGAGTTAAATCCACCCCAAAAAAGAACAATAAATTAAAGCCAGTTATTTAATAAACCTGCTCAAACTCCAACGTTTGGTCTTTGGCTTTCACAGTGACAACGGGATAACCTTTCTGTTTTGTCCAAGATTTCATTAGCTCATTCACAGGTTCACCAGATTCTTCTTCAAGAACTGACCACAAATCTTGTGTCTTTGCATTTGACCAAGCATATCGTTTGATGTAGGTAGCAAGAGCCCTCTGCGAGAAGTCACAAGTAATTCATATTAAATATTTAACCAATAGTTGTGTGCTATTTAGGTAATTCAAAAATTAAATAACATCCACATTCCACACTATGACATATATCAATTTCTAACAATTCTAGGACAACTAAAGCTATTACCGCTTTACCATAAACTTATGGCTGCATTTGGCTGTGGGTTCTGTTAGGTTATTTACTATTAATAAAAAATTTTCCTCCAACATATCAAATCAAACACCTAATATTTATTTTTTATACTATTACACTAAAATTCAATTTTTCATTCAAAACATCACATAAGCACTTATTTATATCTCATCAAATAACTATTAGTTGAATTCATTATAAGATCTACTTACTTTCTTTTAGGAGATGACATGCCGCCACTCGGACTCACAATTCAGAATTTTACTATTCAAAATCCAAACGCAAAACCAAACACACTGATTCTTACAGATTTTAAAGATTCACATATACATGAGGAAGGAATAAAAAAGCTCCCTCCAACCACAATTGATGCATGCATGTTACCATTTTGGGCTGCCTACAATCAATATGTCCAATTTTTTATTTAGAAAATACGGTCTCCACACAAATAATAACATATCCTTACATTTTTCCAAAATTACCAACATACCACCATTTTAGTTTACAATATATCTATTGTACTTTCAGGGACATCTTAGTCAATTCACTCTTATACACTATCTATCATATATAAAACTAATATCCTTTAATTTACATAACAAAACCAAACAGATCATACAAAATACACAGAGGGGGTATTAGCATATAAACAACATGGTAGTGAAGATAGCTTTGTAGCATTGAAAGGGTTCAAAACTAAATCACCTGAAAGCATTCAGCACCAAGATAGCTTTGTAGCATTCGAATAACAGATGCACCCTTTCTGTAACTGATTGCATCAAAAATTTCATCTATTTCACCAGCATGATTGATGTCCACCTGAAAGGAGATAGCAGATAAACTTGAGTTACAAGATACATGGTAAAAAGACCTGCATAAAGCCAATTTTTTCCTAACTATAAAAGAGTTGTATGGTTAAAACTCAATCATGATTCCACAACTAAATCACATCTCCACAAGATCTTCATAACACATGGACGAATGCATCAAATTAAAATTGCCAAAATACCTCAATGGGATGAGATTCTGCAAGCCCATCGAGTCTGAGTCCCTCAGTACTTTCATCAAGAAATTGGGTCCAAACTTGCCAATCTGGGAACAAGCTATCAACAGCTAAATAGCTTACCTGAATACCGGAAACCAAATATTAATAAATGGTACATAGATTAGGATCAGCACAACTGCTTGACTGGAACAGCCTACCCATGTAGCAAATCCCTCATTAAGCCACAAATGAGTCCACCATTCCATGGTAACAAGATTACCAAACCACTGATGTGCTAGTTCATGAGCTACAACAACAGCAACCTAAGTGAAAGATAAGTAATTCATTACAGTGCTGTTGCAAAAAGGGCTTCATTGAGAAATACAAAATGCATAATGTGGACGTTAAGCAGTGTTGATCTATTTCAGGTGCATTAAACTTACCCTCTGCTTGTTTGCAGCTGCTGAGTACTTATCATCATAAAGTAATGCTGTTTCTCGGTATGTAACAAGACCATAATTTTCCATAGCCCCAGCAGCAAAATCGGGAATTGCAATCATGTCCAATTTAGGAAGAGGATATGGCACCTCAAAGTACCTAATAGTTTTTAATCAACAAGAATCATGTCAAGAAGAAATCTGCATCAACACCTTGGAAGTGTATACAATGGTTTAATCTAACATGATGGCTAACAAAAAAAACAGGATAACTTATTGTTGCACCACTTAAAGGTAATGAAACAGGTAATGGGTGATACACATACTTTTTGTAAAGGCCGAGTGTTTTCACAGCAACATCCAGTGAAAACTTTCCTTGACTAGTCTTGCCAACCTGACAATATACTCTCACCTTGATTCCTGAGAATCATAATACTAATCCATCAATAGAGAAACTTGCACTAATCGATAGGGTACCATCGAATGGATGAGATGTCACAAGTACCATCAGGTGTATGGTCTTCAACATAGTCAAACAGACCAACAACAATTGCCACCAAGTAAGAAGACATAACAGGTGATTCTTGATAGCTCACAGTCTTCAGATCACCATTTATTTTTTCTTCAATGACTGGCATGTTGGAAAGTGCTACCAGTTCTGTAGGTACTTCTAAGGTAATCTTGAAAGTAGCCTGAATTGTAAATATGACATAAGCTGATTAAAAGTTCACATGAAAAATGGGCTATCATGTACAATCAAGAACAAACATCAAAACAAGTTAGTGTATAGTTATTGGGAAGTAGGAATAATACCTTGAAGGCAGGTTCATCCCAGCAGGGAAAGCACCGCCTTGCATCAGCTGGCTCAAACTGCGTCACAGCCATGTTTTTCTTCTGGCCATTGTATTCATATGTGCTGATATAGCATCCAAAATTCCAAACAGTTTAAGCTTAATGAATATATGAACATTAAGATAACAATTAACATGATGATGTAGTAGATCAAAAACAAGAAATAGAGTACTTGCAATATCCACAACCTAAATAAATGCCAATACGGTACTTTAAGGGAAAATAATATGATCCATCAGAAAGAACTGTTCGAATATATGTATATTCATCAGTGGATGCAGAAAACCCAGTTGTTGTAAACAACCTTAAATAATAAGTATGAGTGATTCTAGGCAAGTGAAAATGACTTAAAAAAGCAATTTCATTCAAATGTGAAATTGATGGTAAGTGTGTTTTTACGTTTGTAATGGTGTATGGTAGGCTGTAAGGCAATTCCTATTCTTAGTGGAGTATATATACTGATCATTGTGGTAGGTGAAAAAATCATATGACGGTCCAACCAGGCAAGTTAAGCTTCTACCTGGAGAGTAAAAGTTGCACAAAATTGCCAAAAGAATACATAGAAGTTATAATGATATGAACAGCAAAATAAAATAACCAGACAACACAGCAATAATGTCATAATCACAGCTACATTGGGGCAAGATAAAATACCTTCGATAGAACCCTTTCATTCGGTCATTCAAAACCCCATCAAATTCAATGTTCAAAATCCCAACTCCCATCGGCAAACTATCTTTGAACTCCACAACTGCTATCTCATCAGCCTCATATAACTCTACTGTCACAGGTTCCACCACCTGAAAATATTAGGTAAGGAAGAGTAACTCAATGTTTCGAATTCGTAGTGTGACTATCAACCTTGAAACCAATTAGATAACAACACACAACAAAATTCATTAAAAATATCGACTTCATTGACGTCATAGAACCTATGCAAGATTTAAGTCAAAGGATAATTGACTCCTAGGGCAAACACACTGCCGAACTTAATTTCACACACACTGGAATTCCCAATCCGTCAAAATCGTGTGGAAACGCATCAATCTCCGACCAGAACAACTCGGAATTCCCAAATTAAAAAGAAGCAAACACAATCCAGTCGACTTAGCTCCGGACGATACACACGCTCATCGATACCTTACTCCCAGACGCGAAGGTGACGGATTTATTATTTAAAGAGAGTTCCGCGGCGTTGAAGACAAGGAACCTTGTGTCCGCAACGACGTCGACGGAGATTCCGACGACGCCGGCGAACTTACAAGCGACGAGATCGGGCTTCAGTCTGAGATCGTAGCGCTTAGGGACTGCGAACTTGGGGAGACGCGGCTGCCCTTGGAACTGATCATGCGAATGCTTGTTATCCGCCATGGTTGCCTTCTCGAAGGATGCTCTGGTTCGCACACCACCGCTCGACCTGAGGGTCTGATAAGCGATACTGATACAAACGATGAAGAAGGCGCAGAGGAACCCGGGGTATAATAGGGATTTCACTTTCTCCGTAGGGTTCTTCGTCTTATTCTCACTTCCGCTCATTTCGTCAAGTGACAGCAACTGACACGTACACGTTTTTGTGATTATAAATCGTTAGTAAGTCATAGTCGCGTCTGAAACACGATTTTTCGGAGAAAGCGCGTTTTTTAGTTTCGCGCTTTTAGTGGGGAGTAAATGTGGAATGCGATTTTAAGAAACCTTACAATAATGTATGATAAAGATGTTTTATAAGAAAAAATAATAGTTATGGCAAAAAGAAACAAACTGGATTATTAGGTTTGAATGGTTTGAATAAAAGAACATTAATTTAAAAGAATATTAATTTAAATAATTATTTAATACCATAGGAATAAATTATTTTGATATTTTAAATATAAAATTAATTTTTAATATTTTGAATATAAAAAATAAAAAATATTTATTTTACTTAGATATTTGTTTTTAGAAACAAATAAATTTTAAAAAAAATTAGAGTATTAATTCGTATTTTTGAGTAAAGTTAGTGTAGGATTGATTTAGGGCAATTCTAACATAATGAATTCCAAATTTGATGTGAAATCTAGATCCAAACACAACTAATTCTTTGAGGTCGAGAGTTTAAGTTGACTTAAATTAATTTTAGACCGAAAATTCGAACAAATCCGACACGAACTTCACACTTATATGAAAACTTTAAAAAAATTAAATTAATTTAAAAAAATTCATTTTTTTTTTTTATAGTATTATTTTAATAATATTATAAATTAAAATAAAAATAATAAATTTATTCAGGCCAATCCGAGATAGAAACATGAAACCCGAGACCAATTTTTATATTTCGAAATGTCAGATAAACCAAAAGTCCATATGAATATTTTTCGTTTCGGATTCGAATCTTGCAAACCTAAAATGCCCGAACCCGATCCCAAAAAAATAAAAATTTTGTTCGGGTTGGGTTTAATTTTGACACCCACCCGAAACCCACAAAAAGAACACGGCTTGTGTAGGTTTATTGAGTGATTCCCGTGGTCGGTCATGGTGCGGAGGAATCCGGCTGCGGGGTCGTCGGCCATGGACCGGCGGAAGGTCGAGGAGAAGCGGCCGAGCAATGTTCAGAGGTCGGCTTATTTTGCCCGGAGAGAAGCGGCTAAGGTTCTGCGGAGCACGCTCCAGGGCGATGCTCGGCGCAAGGCTATTGGCTCGATTAAGTCGCTTGTTTACAGCCCTTCTGTAAGGAACAAGAAGGCTACTTATGCTCTGGTCTGCCAAACTCTTAAGCGTACGTTGGAAACTTTTGTTGAGCTTGGTTGTGCAATTAGCTTTTGGAATAATTATAACATTTGGAATGATGATTATGTGATGAATGCTTGACGTGGTTTTATGTGAAATTTTTTAATTGTCTAGTTTTTTTGGATGAGAATGAGATTTACAGGGGCGGGAACCTTCACGTTATGCTGTGATGATCTTGAGTATCCTGTTATGTATGAGTTAAGTGACAAAATTGAAAGTTGCTGAACTGGCCATTTAGTTTGACTTGATGAGCTAGCAAATTAATTTCAAAATCACTTTTGAGGTTTGAACGGACAAGATTTCATATGGATTCTCATCGAGCTATTCTATTGATATTACTATGAAGAGCCAGGGGTGTGACTGGTCACTTTAGAATGATTCTTTGTTTTGGATTTGTAGATCTTTCAGTTATTAAAGAAGTGATGCAGGAGGCAGATGTTTTGAATGCCAAGTGGAAGGTAATGCTGCTGTATATATGATGTTATCAAAAATATGTAAGACTATGACTTGGGGTCTTGCATCTACTCTGTTCTTTGAAGCTCTATGATGATGCTTTGCATACTTTGTTTCACAGAAGCAGAAAGACTTAATGTATGTCATAGCATATGATCTGCTTTTTGGGCAGGTACAATGTTGTTTCTTATTTATATTTTACTTGATCACAGAGGTTAGGCAGTTCTAACTGCAACTGTAGTTATTGATTCGTAGTATTGATATTATACTTTTCTTGGTAGAGTTATTTACTTTGCATGTTGTTTCACTGCTCTTATGTTTATTAATGATTGACCTGAACATCGTTTTTAGAATGATTCATTAACGGGTGATGCTGAAAAGTATCTGATGCTACGAAAGGATGCATTGGGGTCAGCTCTGTCACAGATTATAAAGCGCAAAGGGGTGAGAAATGTAGAGGACTTGGTGAATCTTGGTGAGTCAGGTATGTGATGTCATCACTTTTCTCTTGGTGGATTATAATTTAGTCTCTTTCTCAAAGTTTGATCTAACCTTTTGTTTGTGAGAATATGCATTTGAAATTTGAACAACTGACTGCTATGGTTTTCATGTTCTTGTATTTTACTGCTTTGTTTGGTTTTGATATGTTGGGTGAACTTCTGTAATATCCTATTAGTAGCATGAAGTATCTATGGCTTTGACACTGAGCAGAGATGTTCAAAGGAACAGATAATTCACTGGTCCAATGTTTTTACCTGTGTGATGTGGCTGAATATATGCCAGTTTGTCTTTGTCTGAAACAGTTTTAGAAAAATATATCGCACAGCAATAGTTCTTACCTTATGCAGTTCTCCTTATTTTTCCTGAATTTTATAATTGTTGCCCAATGCAGATTTACGAAAACCTCGATATGTTCGTGTCAACACTCTGAAGATAGACACTGAACTTGCCTTACATGAACTGAAACAAGAACATGAGGTATTTTTTACAGTTAAAACTCCTTCAATTTCATATATTTTGAGCTCTTGCTGGGATGGACTGCTAGAGATGAAGAAACAGACATTTTTTTTGGGGGGGGGGGGGGGGGGGTGGCGGGGGAGTGTAAATTAGAGAGTGTCAAGATTAAAATGCTGACTTTTAAAGCAAAGGCCAGGGATTGATTCTTATCTAAATATTTAGTTTATGTAGGATATTTACTGCAATTTGTATTGAAAGTTTAATGAACTAATGACATTTTTATTTAATTGTCTTTTTGACCAATTAGGTCCAGCAAGACAACATTGTACCAGATTTATTGATTCTTCCACCTGGTGCAGATTTACACAATCATTCTCTAGTAATAAATGGAGACATTTTTTTGCAGGTATGATTGTGCAAAGTTTAAATGATCTTATTTATAATTATTCAAATCACTTGTAAAAAAGAGAGGCTAAGTAGCATGAATGGAGATATTACTGTCTGTTCTGTTTCAGGGTAAAGCTAGTTCCATGGCAGCCATAGCTCTTGGACCAAAACCTGGGTGGGAGGTCCGTACTTGTAACTCTTGGTCTATACTAAGTTTCTTAGTATGTTGCTGTTGCTTTATTGTTGAACACTAGGTCGGTTGTTTTTGTAAAGGTCATTGATGCCTGTGCAGCTCCTGGGAACAAAACTGTGCACCTTGCAGCTCTTATGAAGGGCCAGGGAAAAATTATAGCTTGTGAACTTGATGAGGAAAGAGTCAAACGACTGAAACACAATGTTAAATTGGCTGGGGCCACAAGTATCCATTTCTATATTGCTTTTCCTCCATCCATGAGCTCAAAAATATTGCTTGAGTTTTTATCATTTTGCATTTTCTCCAAGTATGAGCATAATGCTCTTTCGGAGGGATGCTTTTAGCTGTTATCCAAGTTATGCTTTGTGTAACAAATTTTCCTCCATAGCATGTGGAACAATCTCTCTTCTTGACTTTCTATGTCAATTTATATCATAGTCAATGCTGAACTTAACCTGGTTTAGATGTGAAAGTTAAACATTGTGACTTTTTAAGTCTGGACCCTAAAGATCCTTCATATTCAAAGGTAATTGTGGATACATATTTCAGTTCGCAGAGATTTTCTGTTCACCTTCAACTGTTTACTAATGGTTGAATTCTGGATAGCAGGTCCGGGCTATACTTTTAGATCCATCATGTTCTGGATCAGGAACTGCATTGGAGAGATTAGATCATTTACTTCCATCACATACTGCAGGTGATTTTTAGGTTATCTGTAGTTAGAAGCTCCTTATTTATTTGTATTATATTTTTGGGTTTCATATTTGAAATCTTCCTTACCATTCTCATTAGCTCAATATTAAAAATCCCTAGTGCTTTAGCTGCAATGAGTTGTTTATATACGTTCTTGGTTCTTGGCACAAGGTAGCTCTGGTCATGTAGAAACAAAAAGACTTCAAAAGCTTGCCGGTTTTCAGAAGAAGGTTCTAGAGCATGCATTGTCTTGTAAGACTTCAAACCAATTGCAACATTTCTGGCTAAGTTGTTTGTGAAGCTTAAAATTGAGCATGCAGGCGTTGTGGCTTTGCTAGATTGGCGATGGTCAAGAAACCTTAGCATAATCACACTATCTTTCTCTCTCCAGTGCTCAGTTACAGTTTTCCTAAATAGCAGTTTCGGTTTTTTGAAACCAGACCTGCTTTCCCATGTTTCAAAATACAATTTTAATGTTACTGTTTTTAAATTTGGTGGCAGTCCCAGCTGTGGAGAGAATTGTTTACAGCACTTGTTCAATACATCAAATTGAAAATGAAGATGTTGTTAAGTCTGTTCTGCATCTGGCTTTGTCTCATGGCTTTCAGTTGGCCACAGCACTTCCCCCGTGGCCTCGCCGCGGTCTCCCAGCATTCGATGGGTGTAAGTTTCACATTAAAATTTTGCTCGAGGGAGGAAACCTAAGGCTTTTCATTTTTATGGTTTTTGTCTCACTTCCATTATCGGTGTAATCCTCTTTTTCGACACATTCTTGTAGAACTGATGATTAACTATTATGTTTCAGCTGAGCACTTGTTACGAACTGATCTGACAGTAGACAAAGAAGGTTTTTTCATTGCTCTGTTTGTTCGGAAAAGTAATTATCAATCAGGAGATCCTGGAAGAACTGCAGGAAACTGCCATAGCCAGGTTCACAAGAGAAGAAGTACCTGTCAAAGTAGAAAACCGTTGAATATTTTCGTTGCAAAAATGCTTAAGGTGCACCACAAATTATCTTTCGCAAGAAAGCCACGGTATGTCCACGGCAAGCCATCTAAGATTTTGTAACATAGAGAAATGAACTGATCTGACACTACATAGAAGGTTCCTTCATTGCTTTGTTTGCTTGCAAAAGTAATTATCAATCAGGCGATCATAGAAGAAATGCAGAGAAGTGCAATGTTCTTGTCTATCGAAGCAGCACTTGTGGAAGTAGAAAAGCTTCGAATATTTTGGTTGCTTAAAGTGCACTCCCAAGTCTTTCCCCAAAAAAGTGAAGTTAGCTGAGGTACGTCCATAGGCATCGAAGATCTTGATATATCGTTGCGAAATTCGTCTACATTCCATTCCTCCATTGGTTTATTTATATAGCATAACATTCTGAAAAGTTCTAACTTTTAAGGCAGAGCAAAACCTGCACACATGACATAAATGTTATCAAATTTTTGTTAATTGTTTCTTTTCGGTATTTGAATTTTATTTGAATTTTGTTGCATTCCTTAGTTGTTATATTGTTGTTGGAGACATTACCTTGTTGCGGAAAACATAAACATAAGTAAAACAAAAACACCACAAAACAATAGGATTTAGCATTGTAGGGGAAGAATATTTTTTAGTTTGCAAGTTATTAGGTTCGATGGAGTTTATTTAGAGTGCACTCCAAGATTCGAGTAACGAAAAAATTTTACGTTATAAAGTATATATAAGATATATATGTACACTATGTATGCATGCTTAAATAGGAAGTATATACACTTTGGTATCTTGAATATAGAAAAAAAAAATGAACTTGTCAAAATAACCACAACTATTTATTATTGTTATTATTATTATTTTAAATCGGAGTTTCAAACCAATGGTGGAAAAGGAAGCCTATAAGATAAGTTTCATCACTTGGACTTTTACAAAAGTTGGCAAAATAACAAGCAACGAGAAATTGCAATGAAATATATATATATATATATATGCACATATTAAATGATATTATTGATTTTTTATTATTTTTTTGTTTTTATTTTTATTTATTATATGTATATTTTTTCAGTGGGAATTATCTAATATATAATATGTATTGTGTTTAGTAAAGTAATATATTTGTTCTTCAGGTTATGGTCTAGTGAAAATTACAAGAATAATAAATTTGAAATTGAAATTGAAATTATATTTGATTTAATAGTTTTTTTAAATGTTGTTTATATATATTTTATTTTTTATTTAATATATTTTATTTTCATTGTCATCTTAATTTTTTTTTTACTTTTTTTTTATTGTCATTTAAATCTATTTTTTTTTAGTAAAAAAATATTATTTTTTTAACTTTTTTTTTTTTACTTTTAAAAAAATTATTTCTATTTTTGTCTACTTTTCTTAAATAGCGGGTCCGATCAAATCTGCATATAGTTTGATGACAAAAGGAGTATAAAACATAAATATTCGATTTAATGGTCTTGAACATTTTTTTAAGGGATAAACTTTGAATACATGTGTTATATGATTTTTGCACAAAAGTTTTTAATTTAATTTATTGTATATTTAACATTTATAATACACAATTTTTTTATATTTAATTTATTGCATATTTAATAGTTATATTATAATAAAATTTACATGAAATTTTCATTCTGCCTATAATTAACGGAACTTTTAACTCACATGCTATTTGTATATACTAATTTGAGTTTAATTTAATTTAAATAATATTATAATCTAATTTTTATGTAAGAAAATTATGTATTTTTATTACCAACCATTTAGATTGTATAATCATATCCATGGCCTTCAAACCATTTTATTTTGATATTTGCAAAGTGAAAATAATTATCAACATAGTATTTTGTACAAAAAGACACATTTGAATTTTGATGCAATATTAAATATATTTTTATTGAATGTTATAAAATTAAAATTAAATTGTGAATGACAATTTATTCAGAATAAATCCAAATCTTATAATAGTCACCAAAGTTAGCAAAATAACAATCAACTGGACATAGCATATTGCAATATATTTTTATTTTAATATTAATTATTATATTAAAATATAATACAAAAATAATTTTATTAGTGTTTTATAATACAAATATAAATATTAAATACAATGACTCAAAAAATAAATTTAAACTTATTAAGTGAAGAGATAAAGTATTATTTTAAAAAAACATCACATAAAAATATTATTCAAATAAATTAAATTAAAAAAAAATTCAAATTTATTTTAAGTGAATATCTAATAATATCCCTAACAATAACAAATTAAATTCTCAATTTATAGTGGCGCAAAAATTTTCAAAAATAAAATAAAATAGATACATTCGCACCAACTACATAAAATAAACTGCCTAAAATTTTATCGGTAAAAATATGCATAAAATTTGAAAGTTACCGTTACTAATCTCAACGGTCATCAATTAACCGCCATTCTCTTCGTTTTCAAACTATCATCACAAACATTCCCACATATCTTTTCCCTCTCATCATAGACCACTGACCCACCGGAAGTAACCACTCGCCGCCGCCGCCGCCACCACCGCCACCGCCACCTCCGCCGCAGCAAATTCGACGATCACCGGCAACAATGGCAGACCCGCAACCCAGCAGTAGCACTGTTCCATCGAACCACGGAGCCCTCGACGCCTTACCGATCTTCGACGACGATCCCGGCATCGCATTCATCGACAGTTTCGTCGACGATTTGGTGCGAGATCCCAACAACCTCGTCGGAAGCTACGACCCGATCGATTTTTCAGGCATACCTATCGACGAGAATGTCTGCGATTTCCCGCAGACATCATCAGAATTCGGAAATCCGATCCAAATCCCGGCGTGGCCTGTCCTTCCGACGCCGCACGCTTGCACTTGTTGCCAATCGCTACGGGAATTATTACACACCGACGGTTTGTCGTCGCGACGCCTCCTCTGTTTCCATTTCTTCCCCTGTCTTTGTTCGACGCTACTAATGATGTTCGAAAAATTTCCTGATTAGGCACTCACGTGCTCAAGTTCGACATCCACGGAAGGCTCGGGATGATCAGCCACGCCGTGCTAGAAAAGTACAACAGCCTCGCGCCGTATCAGAATCACGACTACCACATGTTCGAGTGAGCTTTTAATTTTTTTTTTTTGTCGATTGTATTTTTGTCAAAATTCCACTAAACGGGTTGTCGTGTCGGATTCCAGTTTCAGCCAAGAAAGTATTAGTAGCATAAAGGAATTCTTGATTCGATACTGCGACGATCGTAAACGCGAAGGCTACTTCATGCTGCAGGATCCGCTCTCCAGCTTCTACGACGCGTTATGCGTTGGAATCGACGACAGCAGCGGCAAAAATCATTCGAGAGGTCGACATAAAATTACTTCCGCAAATAATTTCCCAACTTGGATTAGCTTTAGCGCGATTATAAATGACCCCCTCGAATCTTTCTACAGAGGAAATCCCGGATCAATACGAGTACATGGAAAACGGCATAAGACCGAGTAAGAGCTTCATAGCATCGCAGGTTAGCGACAAAAAATCATCGATATTTTTTCTTTTTCCTCTAAATTAATTATGTCCGGCGATGGCGATGTTTAGTGCAGAGGGAGAGGACGGGGAAGATGAAGGTGAGAGATTTGGCGCCGTATTTCCATCTTCCGATCAACAATGCGGCTAAAGAAATGAACATATGTCCCTCCGCCGTGAAGAGTATTTGTCGAAAGGAAGGGTTACTCAGGTGGCCTTACAGAAAGGTCAGGCTATCGTTAAATCGATCGATGATTCGAGTGTTCGAATGTAATGAAAAGCGAAAGTGTTTTTGCAGATTAAGAGCATCGAAAGTAAGATATTGAGGAAGCAACAATGTCTGAATTCTTCGAATGATCACAACGAGAGAACTTCCGCCATTGCAGAAATTCAAGAGCTTCAGCAAAAACTCACCAGACTCTATGAATGAATTCTTCGTATTAACATCTGTTGTCGATTTTCGGTTTTACTACCCGACGAAAGAAAGTCGAACATAACATAACAGGTTCGAGCTTCTCCATGTTTTCCAACATGTTTTTTGATCGAAATCCAATGTTTCCAAGACAGCGCCGATGTTTTACTTTCAGTTCGAACGCTCTATCGGATCAATCAAAACGGATAATTTGTCGCCAATTCAAGTCGGGCAGCTGCATTTCATCAAACCCTTCGACGCCATTTCTTTGATGAAAACCTCAAGCGACCTCTTCCCGACAATGAGCTTCTCATCGATCATTTTCTTGAAGAGACGAACTGCCTTCTCTGCATCTCCATTAGCGCAATATCCTTCGATCAACGAACTGTATAACGTCAAATCAAGCCTATGGCCATTTTCGACCATTTCTTGAACAAGCATCTCGGCATCTTGCATCATTCGTCTGGCTGCGACGAGCGCAATTATCACGTCGTTGTAGGATAAGAAATTCGGGCAGAATCCCCATTGCTGCATCTGCTTCATAAGAAGAATAGCGTCATCGAACTGATGCAATTTAACAAAGCTTCGCAAGACGGCGTTGAAGGTTGCGGTTTTAGGCCTAACGCCCCTCGCCGTTATCATTTCTTTTATCAGCGCAATCGCTCTGTCGGGCCTCCCCAAATTACAGTACTCGTTCACTGCTACCGTGTACGCTTTTTCATCGAGATTCATTCCTTTATCAACCAGACTTTTGAAATGCTCAATCGCATCGTCCGATCTCCCAGCAATCGAATAGCCCTTCAACAAAATCGTTTGAGTCGCAACATCGGCCCTCACTCCGTTCAACTGCATCCGGCTCACCATTCTCCTCGCCTCGTCTACTGCCCCGCTGACGCACAACCCGTTGATCAAAACATTGTACGTCAAAACATTCGGCTCGCAAATCCCCCGGCTCGTCATTTCATCAAAACATCTCATCGCATTCTTTAACTCGCCTTTCTTGCAATAACCATCCAACAACGTCGTGTACGACATAACGTCCGGCAAGCAACCAGTGCCAGAGTCGGAATTAGACTCAACCATTTGATCCACAATCCTCTGCGCCTTAGCTACCAACCCATTCTTACAAAGCCCATCGATCATAACGTTAAAAGTCACCAAATTCTTGCAGTCAGTCATTTCGTCGAACACCTTCTCTGCATCCACAACCATGCCTGCTCTGCACAAGCCCCTGATCATGGTGGTGTAGCTCGAAACATCAGGCCTCACGGCGGCTGTCTTAACAACAATCTGCGCAAAATAACCCAAACCATGGCCGATTCTATTGGCCTTAACCAGCACACCCAACAGCGCATTGAAAGAAAATCGACAGCCTCCGAAATCCCCACAATTCACCTCGCGAAAATGCTTCACAGCCCACTTCAGGTGCCCCAAATCGCCGTGAGCTTTGATGAACTTACCCACCATGAAATCCGAGAACCTGTCGTGGCTTTTCAGTAACCCCGCGGCTAATGAAAACAATCTGTGGGAAAGGAGCTTGTCAGTAATGGCGATGTAGCAGAAATGGGAGTGGCTGTAATGATTTGGGTTGGGACTCGGATTGGAGGCCCAGGTGAAGAAGAAGAGGGCGTGATAAGGGTTTGTCTGATCCTTGATGATCTCGATCACGAAATTAGGTCTCAAGAATGAAGCAAATTGATCGAGGGTCGAAGGGCTAGGGTTTTGGTGAACTCTCGGATTTTGGGGATTTATCGATTGGAGGAGGGAATTTATAGCGGCAATGACTGCCGGAGATCCGCCGGTGATCGGCTGTCGCAGGCTGCGGACGGCCGCCATGCTGCTGTATCCCGCTTCAGCTACAACAAATGCAAATGCAAATTCAAATTAACATATTTGTATATAATGCCAGAAAATATAATGGCTTCATTAATAGAGTCTGCAAGTTTTTGTTGAATTTCTGCAATGGAGAAGGCTGTGTCACTGGGATTGTTAGGTCTGGGATACAATTTTTTAAATTAAAATAGGGGTTGTTTTCTGTTAATAATAAAAAGTAAAATATTAGAAAGATTAAAAATATTTTTTACATATGGTGAGACAACTGTAATTGTTTGGTGGCCTGAAATTTCTGTAAAATCTCATTGATTTCACATTTTACAGTTTTTTTTTTTAATATAACAAAATAGACAATCTACAAGAAAATTATCTCCTATTGTGTTAAGCAAATCAGTCTTTATAATCTTCATAGTAAAAAAGAATTTTTCGATTGTTGCAGTGGGCAAGATCAATACTAATACTATAAGTCGATATATCTAATGAAAAATAAGATCAACTTTGAACTCAATCATCTTTTTTGCAAAACCTTCAATATCAGAAAGATTTGAGAAATCCAATTCTCTTCGCACATAATGAATATATGATCGAAGTTGTAATCTCAATTCCATTAGATTCTCCCCGGTAAAGTCATCTGAGTACAACTCAGCTATGTGGAATACCCGTTCAAGATCAAAACTAACAAATGAATTGCTAAGATCAAGGCAAACTATGCACATAATCAGCTCAGAATTTAACTTAGAAAATTCGGCATTCATTTCTTGAGAAATAATATCAACAACCTATAATAAAAAAAAAAAATTAATACTATAAAATAGCAATTGAATATCGTTATAAAATGAACAAGAATTTAATTACCTTTAAAAATATGTCTACATGAAAATATTGGGATTTGACCAACTCAACACTAGTATGACATTATCCACTTTGGGCTTAGCCCTTACGGCTTTGTTTTTGGATATTCTCCAAAAGGCCTCGTATTAGCGGAGTTCACTTGGGATTTATAAAGCGTAGAATTTTTCTTCACAACTTTCAATGTGGGACTTGGGTTTGCACCCCAACAATCCTCCCCTCAAACTAATGACCTTCCCTGCCCACTTTGTACCGCCTATCACAAAGGACCCGCTGCCTAACCATCTCAATCGGGACCAATCCAACACCGCCAGAAGACTTTCGACACAAGACACATCCGCAGGTCACGAGGGCGAGCCCACCACCACAACCAATGCCCAATGCCACCCAATCCACTTCACCATTTAACTGGGCTCTGATACCACTGTTGGGACTGGACCAATTCAAGTATGATATTATTTGCTTTGGGTTTAGCAGGAGAACCTCGTACTAGTAGAGTTCACTTGAGACTTATAATGTGTTAAATTTTTGTTCACAACTTCTAATGTGAGACTTGGGTTTGCACCCCAACAGAAAATAGTGAATATAAGTCTCCCTTCCCATCCAATATTCTTCTTGCTCAACCCGGTATAACATCTTCCAAAGTGGGCAGGACAATATCATTATTAAAACAAAATTCAGTTACTTCCTTAAAACAACTAATCCTAACCATTATTTATAAATTCCCCAAATTCATCTTTCAGTGAGGGCATAACAAGAGATATGTCTTGATTCTTTTGTTGTAAAATTTGTGATAAAACATTTGTCATTCCTAATAAATGCATGGCTAAATGACCAATGAATATAATTTCAAAGCTTTCCATCTATTGCTGGAATATAATTTTAGGTAAAAAAAATTCCTAAATTTTTTGTTCGGGGGCGACGGACACTTGGTGCCTCCGCTCCTGATTGTTATGACAGAGTTATATATCATGCATGAAAAATTGCGTTTATACTTTTGAGGTTTATAATTCCTTGTACATTTAGTAGGAAGAGTTGGTCGATTTGAATTGACTTAAAAAAAAAATAGAAGTCAAAAGCAGTTCGATTTTGTATTTAAATAAATCATTATAAAAACAATTTATTATAAAACATATTTGGCTATAACATAGTTGAAAGTGTTTGAAACCGTTAAAATTACTTCGTATTTTTTCTATAATACTTTTATAATTTATTTTTAAATTTTATGAATTATATTTAAAATTTTTAAACTATAGTATAAAAAATGTATTTTTAAAATTTTTTATTTATATTTTAATATTTTGGCTTAAGGATAATATATAAATTAAAAATAAAATTACAATTTAATATTAAGTTATATATATTTTACAATTTATTTTTAATATTATAAATTATATTTAATAATTATAGTATACTTAAAAAATTTGTATATTTTTATTTAAATTTGATATCTTAATATAATTTTAAATTTTAATTCAAATATAATAAACACTAAAAATAATAGTAATATAATTATATCTTTAACATTTTTTCATTAAAATATAATATATAAATTAATTATTTTTATATTATATTATACTTTCTTAGCCAAATATTCTTACCAAAAGTTAATCCAAACAAAGCCTTATGAATTTATTAAAATTAAACAACTTTATTTAAATCACAATAATAAATAAAAAATTTATTATAAAGTAAATGTGAATAATTTGATAAAAGAAGATTATTTATTAGACTACTAAAAGAATATTATAAATAGCGATCTTATCCTTTTTAAATAGTTTAGATATTATGAACTTTAAATATGCTCATCAGTTCTCTTTAATTTTTAATTTTAATTTTGTTTTTACAAATTATCAACACAATTTTTATATATATTTCTTTTTTTTTATATATATAAAATATTATATTTACTCATTATTTGACTTATAAATAAATAAATAAAAATACTAAACAAACAATCTCAGAGATTTTGTAGACTTTCCAATAGCTACAAACACCACTATCGATGTGGGATGTTCTATAGAGACCCATGAAAAAGGCAATTAGATTTTGTTTGAGTCTCCACAATTCTCTATACAGATATACAATTTATTATATCCAACTAATTATAAATACAAAATACAAACAAAAACACAACCCCAATTGCATCTTGCATTTCTATTCTGGATTTTGAATAATTTAACTTAGAACTAATTCTTAGGTGTAATATCTTGAATGTTATTATGTGACATTTTATTGGGTAAACTGTCTTTTTAGTCCCCTAGACTATTTATTATTTTAGTCTCGTAAGTGGAGCATGTTGCACACTAATCTCATAAGTAAAAAAATTTCGCTGTTTTAGTCCTCCGATGACGCTGGCGTGGCTCGCCGGAGGCCACGTGTCCGCCAGGTCAGCGACACTTGGCGGACACGTGGATTTTATTTTATTTTTAAATTTTTTTAAAAATTTTATTTGCCTTTTTAATTTTTTTATTTGGTCCAATTGAAAAAAATTAAAAAAAATTAAAAAAAAATTAAAAAAATAAAAGAAAATCTACGTGTCCGTCAAGTGTAGCTGACCTGGCGGGATACCCGGCGGACACTAGGCTTTCGGCGAGCCACGCGGGCTTCTCCAGCGCTGGAGGACAAAAACAATAAAAGTTTTCCACTTATGAAACTAATTTGCGACAGACGCTACTTACGGGACTAAAATAATAAGAGAGGTTAGTTACGAAATTAAAAAAGACATTTTACCCTATTTTATTTGAAGTAAAATAGTGCAAGTGTAAAAAAGTCAATTTAGTACAACTTTACAATTCATCCACACGCGCACGCACACATAGTTGGATTAGTTAGAATAAATTGATTAATTAGACATTGGCGTGATTAATTAGACATTGGCGGTGACTGCTGAACAACACACGCATAACTAGCAAATAGCATATAATAATATTAGTAATAATACATCATTTATACTAATATAATACAAACACAACACATGAATGAACATCACACAGATAGCTAGCAAACAACATACGGTAATATTAGTGACAACACATTATTCATATTCATATGATACAAATAAAACACATAAATTAACTAACTCATGATACAGTCTCACATAGCACATTTTACAGCACACATATAATTATAAACAAACAACAAATTTCATTATAAATAAACAATATATGTCATTATTACAAATAACTCGTGTTGTTTTTAATAAAAATTTGTGCTGTTTTTATATTTTATGAGTGCTGATCACCGTACGGTGACCTTCCGCTTAGCTATAAAACAAAATTGAAAAATTATGACTTGTGTTTTTTAGTGTTTTGATTTTTGCTGTTCAGACGTTTTATTTTATATGAAAAATAAATTTATTCTTATTAGGAACTATAATATTGTACTAGGACAATATTGATAAAAATACAAAATAGAGCTTTAAAAAATGATTATTCTCTTAATTTGAATTTGAATTTAAATATTATTTCAACATAATTTTTATGAAAAAAAAATAATATATTTTAATTACAAATTGTCATTTTTATTTTTTATTTTTGATCGGATACAAATTGTCATTTTGATTTGATATTAAATGCATTTAAGGGTCACCAGTGTCCTTCCTCTCAACATCGAGATTTAGCATCTAGTGCATGTTTTTTTTAACTCCAAACTTCAGATTTTATATTGAGACTCTGCATTTTAAAAGAAAAAAATATATATATTTTTTTTCTCACACAAAATATCGTTTATTATATAGTTCTAAGTGGCGAGACATTTTTTACTGGGTAAGGTCCTGAGTAGGACTAAACCTGTCAAAACGGGTCAGTGGGGCGAATTGATCCACAATCCACCATAACCCGCAAATAAGTGGGTTGTTTGCGGGCCAATCCGCGGCGGGACGGATTAAAATTTCATCAGCCCAACCACCCACCAGCAGGTGGCGAACTAAGCGGGCTGGCCCACGAGTTTTTTAAAAATATTAAAAGAATATTAATATTATAAATATGTTCATAATTAATATTTAAAAATAGCTAAAAATAGTTTTATTGTAGAATTTAAATAATAACTATTTTAAAATAAATAACAAATATAAAAGGTCTCAATTATAATATTAATTGGTGTATTTAAAAAAATTAACAATAAGAAATACTTCATTTCAAAAATAAATCATAATTAATTTTATGAATTTATAAAATTATAAAATAATAAAATGGAAGACGAACAAAACAAATAATGAAAAATCGAAACAAATAACAATGTCATGAATAACATAGTTAGAGAAAAAAAAAACAATCGACAATATTGATAATTTATTCAAGGTAATGATAATATAAATTTTATTTTATTCGTCTTAAATTATGGTATGTTTGTAATTTATAAAAAATTAAGATATATTCTTATATAATATTTGATTAAAAAATACATTTAGTTAGACCAGTAATTACTAATTATTATATTTACTTGACCCGCGGGCTAACCCACCCTCAATCTGCGGCCTATGCGGGTTGGTCCATTTAGGTCCGCATTTTAACGGGCTTAAAAATTTACCACCCAACCCTCCGTAAAAATAAGGCGGGGAAGACCAACCCGACGGGCTTAACCAATTTTGACGGCTCTAATTAGGACCATAATGGATGTTGGGCATTTCAAATAAATTGCGCGGAACTAGTTTAATTTTGAATACAAACACAAAAGAAAAAAAAAACATAACGAAAAATAAAAAACTCATATTTTCTATGGCTATTTGCAGTATATTCAAAGAATTTGTATAGATCCTTCCATCCGAAGACCAAGACTTGTCTTTCATGGTTCACGAATTCAAAAATTGCACACTTCTATGGCGTCGCAGCCTACATATATATATATATATATATATATAAGGATATCATCAGGCTATGAAAATTCAAACAAAGAATTAGCTAACAAGCTTTGCTCGAGAAAAAAAAAATGGAGGATTTGGAGAAAAAGTTATACGACGCTGCGGTGGAAGGCAGAGCGGCGTCGCTCCAAGAACTGCTCAGACAAGATCCAATCATCCTCGAACGAGCTATGGTGAATCAATTCTCGGAGACTCCTCTGCACGTGGCAGCAATGTTAGGCCACTCGGATTTTGTGAGGGAGATCGTTAGGATCAATCCGCAGCTGACAAATGAGTTGAATTCAATGCGATCGACTCCTCTTCATCTGGCTTCGGCTAAAGGTCATGTGGAGGTAGTGAGGATTTTGATTTTTGTCGATCCTCAGACATGTCTGGCTCGAGACAGAAACCAGATGACAGCCCTGCATCTAGCAGCACTCAAAGGTAGGATTGAAGTCGTGAAAGTTTTGCTCGGGGAAAAGCCCGATGCAGCGCAGCTTTCAGTGCATAAAGGTGAGAATATCTTACATATGTGTGTCAAACACCATCAGCTCGAGGCTCTGAAGCTCCTGCTCGACAAAGTCTCCGATCAAGATTTAGTTAATGCTAAAGACTCCGACGGCAACACTCTCCTGCATTTAGCTGTTGCGCATAAGCAGGTCGAGGTAAGTTATCTATTCATCGTTGTTGAATGTAAATTAATCCGTAAAAAGTGATCGATGAAATTTTATTTTAGGTAAATTAAAATCATAATTTTGTCAAAATTGATTAATCAGTAAGTAGAAATGCCACGCCTAACAAAAACAAATTAGTTATGGGTGTTTGAGGGATTAATTAGCTAAAATATTAGTTAATTACCCTATATTGTGTTTATATATAGACTCGTGACCGTAAAGTCATGGGTTCAAACCCGACGTCTCCAGGTCTTGTCTGCCACACATGGTTCGCCTAGTGTGATTTGTCTTATCAAGTCTAGTACTTTGGCCGAATCTAATACTCTACAAACTAAACCCAACAAGGCAAGTCATACTAGACGAACAATGTGTGACAGGTGGACCTGGAGGGCGTCGAGGTTTGAACCTATGACCTCACGGTCACAAGTTCATTCTCCGCAACACCAGACCATTCTTTATGAGACATGTTGCAACCTTTCTTTGACTTGGGCAATATGCTAATAAAAGGCTTATTTGATTCCTTAAACAGACTATCGAGTTCTTGCTTTCAGAACCTGCCCTCGATGTGAATGCAAAGAATCTAAACCGAATGACGGCTTTAGATATTCTAATCCAAAGCAGAAGTGATCTAAGGGATGCAGAGATTCTAGAATCTCTTAGACAAGCTAATGTGGATGGAATACAAGACCGTAATAAAGGATCACCATTTCATCAAGACTCGGCAAGTCAAGCTCCATCTTTTCTTGTCAATCCTAATTCAGCACTCCCAAATAATCTCAAGAACAAGGGGAAGCATCGAGAAGATTGGCTAGAGGAAATGCGCAGCGCATTGATGATTGTAGCTTCACTAATTGCATCCGTGGCTTTCCAAGCCGGAGTTAATCCTCCCGGTGGCCTTTGGCAAGACGACAGCAAACCAGGCGATCAACCTGTTTATAAGGCAGGCTTCTCAATATTTGCGCGGAATTACCCGGGAGATTATGTACTATTTTACATCTACAACACAATAAGCTTCATCTCATCTCTCAGCATCATACTTCTTCTGATCAGTGGTTTGCCAGTGACGCGCAAGCTTTTCATGTGGATACTAATGGTGGTCACTTGGGTTGCGATTACAGCTACTGCGCTGACTTATTCCTTGATTATATCAGCAGTGACGCCCGTCGAACGAGGCAAGAATATGGAGGATATCATCGGATGGACAATAGTTGCGTGGATTGGTTTGATGGCAGTCCTACTCATAGTCCACACGATACGCCTGATCGTGAAGATAGAAAAAAAGTTGAGAAAAAGATGGTATGGGAGGAGAAAGATGGTCTCCGCTACAACCGTTGGCTGTGTTTAGAGATTTGTGAAGTTTGTGTGAAGCCATGACGAGTGAATTGAGCTCGAGTGGCTTCATGTGATATATAGAAATATGTGTGTGTGATCGTGTTGATGATTCATCTCCGTTGTTTAGATATATTTATTATTTGATTATTTTGATTTAAATTTGATTTTAGTTATCTAGATTTTGATTGTTATTATTTGAGTCTTTCAAATCTATATCATTTCATCATGTTTAGATTTCATTATTAATAATATACAATTTCTATCGAAATTTTATATGGTATCAGAGCATAATTTTTTCAAGCAAAATCGACAGCCATTGCCACCACTATAATTTCCATCTGATCATCTCTGGTCGACTCCGCCCACCCCATTAGATTTTCCATCCAAAATCCGGCTGACCAACCAAAATTGGTGGTGAATGCAGCATGTAAGGCCCATATTGGCAAATTATTTTGTTGCTGCATGAGGATCTTCAGGAACATCATATAGGGTGTCAACATTGAATCCGATCCGAAAACTAAATTTCGTTCGACCTGAAAATTTTTAGGTAAGAGTTTAAATGTTTTAAGTTTTTAAAAATTTAGGTCAACCTGAACCCAAAACTAACAAAATTGGCTTGGATCATGTCAAATTTGGGTTGACATGATAAACCAAAATATAGAAGTTATAATTAATTTTTTTGATGTATTTCAAATTATAATATATTACAAAATAAAATAATATAAAAAAGTTAAAATTATAAAAAATAAATAATATACTAATTATAAAAAAATAAAATCAAGTTTTCGAATATGTTTTGCATAGGATTTTTTAGATAAGTTTGAAATTTTTAGATTTACGGGTCAATTTCATGTCAGTTTTTAGGTTTTAGGGTTTGTTTCATACCAGGTTCTTCGAATTTGTTCGGGTTATCGATCGGGTGCCTTGAAAAAAATCAGGTTAACTTGAACCTAACTTTAAAAAATTCGTTTTGTATTCGGATTTAGGATTTCGGGTTGAAAATCAAGTTCAAGTCGAGTTCCGATCAGCACACTTTTTGTTATATCCGCATCTTAACCCGACACAAACACAATTCGAAATCACGAATTGACACCCCTGACATTAGACGACAAAACTGATGCTAGTGTGACAGTTGGACTATCCATGCTGCTTGCTGAGGTGGAAAGTTTTGCTATGTATATTTTCTGAGCTGGAATGTTTTTTTAGGAGATAATGTGCTTACATCCTTTGGGAAGAAGCTGCACCACACACAATGCTATTTTGGATAATGGTTGTCTTTTAAATTGCATTAAATGGAGCTGTGACATACCAAATAAGTTTTTAAATGTATGTATGTGGTGTGGTAACTTCATTTAATAAAAGAGATAATAAATTTCCTTGCAATAAACTTTAAGAAGATAATTATAGAGGTAATGAACTAGATTTAATATTTTGAATGTACTTATGATAAATATTATGAGATATATATTTTTTTTAAGTAACATAGTGCAAAAGAGAAAAAATAAATCAAAGTCAGTCAAATACAACTTTACATTTCAATCACATATGTAGTTGGATATTACTTATATTATATATTAGTTAGGAATATTTTCAATCATGCTAATAGAAATTAAAAGAAATTTGATCAATTAATACAATTTTTTTTTTTTTGAAAATGATGAAATTAAGCTAGTTGTTATTTTCAATGAGATGCGTGTCAAGAAGAAATTTGGGGTTTCATCTCAAAACACAACCTAAGACGCCAGTTGCGAATCTTGTATGTGGACGACGACAAATGAATAGCGGTGGAACTCAAACATAGAGCGTCTCGACTCTAATGCCATTAAGAAGGGATCTTGGGCTCTATTTTAATTCAATTGATGATAAATGGAGTTGTTATTTATCCTTACAAGGTCATCTCTAACTCGTCACTCCATTTTTGTAGTTGCTACAGTACTGATCAGTACTTTTACTCTAATCATAAACTTCAAACTTCAATTTTTACTAAAAAAAGTATATCATATATATTCTTCTTTTATATTATTTTATATAACTTTTCATATTTATAAATTACACCCCAACTTTAATTATTTTTACATTATAATCCATACACATATAATTTATATTTTATTTAAAAATTACATATATTAAAATCAACATTTATAATTAATAACTATTACAAATAAAATAATTTCAAATAAATAATTAAATGCCATCGAGACAAATAACTATTCAAAATAAAAAATTATACATAAATTTTATAAAATAAAAGTACGCATAATTTTTAAAAAAATAAAATTATATCACTTTCCAGAAAGTAAAATTATATATTAATTTTAAAAATAAAATTATACATTATTTTTTTTTAAAATAAAATCATATATTACCTTTCAAAAAAAATAAAATTATACATTACTGCAGTGGGTTGGAGTTGGTCTAAACAAGGGAAACTTCCAATATATATATATATATATATATATATATTTATGTGGCACAACATTCCGTAGTAAGTATTTTTTATGTGTTTTTTTAGTGTGTTGATTTTGTTGTTTAGATGTAATATTTAATATAAAAGTTAAATTTATTTTTACTAGGAACAATGATATTGTGTATTAAATTTATTGACAAAAAAAAAAAAAAAAAAATGAAAACAAAGCTTAAAAACATTATTCTTTTGGTCAAAGTATGAGTTTTTTCCAGTTGAATTAAAATTCAAACGGTACCTTAATATAAAATAATATATTTTAATTAAAAATGATGTGATCTGAATGATAATTTTAATTTAAAATTAAAACAAAATATTGACTCTCAAATAACCATAAAATATCTTTCCATGATATTGCCTTTAATTAAGGGTCACTATATATATGGTCCTTCCTCCCCAACATCAAGATGTAACATCTCCCCATATAAACACAAAATAGAAAAATCTGCCATGATGTTTGGGTTGAAGGACCACAAGTGATTCCCTTTGAATGTGATTCCCTTGCTTGATAGTTCTTTGGAACATTTTGAATGAATCGTGCGAATTTCATTTTAATCCGAATACAAACACACAGATAAAAAAGAGACAAATTGGCTAAGGTGTGTGGAAATACTTTCTCTCTTCAATGCGACAGTAGAATATTTGCAATAGTAATATTTTCTGTGGCTATTTTTAATCGATAGTTACTTGTAATAGTATTCGAAGAGTTTATAAGCTCTTGAATGGCTACATGGTCTTGGGCATTGGCGGTTTGTAGATGATTGTATCCGAAGACCAAGACTTGTGTCTCATGGTTTACAAATCCAAACACTACACTGTTTCGATGGCGACGCCTATATAATAAGGATATCATCAAGCTATGAAATTTTATTCAAACACAGAAGCTAGTAATAAACTTTCCTCGAAAAAATGATGGAGGATTTGGAGAAAAAGTTGTACGATGCTGCGGTGGAGGGCAACACGAAGACGCTCCAAGAACTGCTCAGACAAGATCCAATCATCCTCGAACGAGCTGTGGCAAATTGTTTCTCGGAGACACCTCTCCACGTGGCAGCAATGTTAGGCCACTCGGATTTTGTGAGGGAGATCGTTAGGATCAATCCGCGGCTGACAAATGAATTGAATTCAATGCAATCGACTCCTCTTCATCTGGCTTCGGCTAAAGGTCATGTGGAGGTAGTGAGGATTTTGATTTATGTCGATCCTCAGACATGTCTGGCTCGAGACAGGAACCAGATGACAGCTCTTCATCTAGCAGCACTCAAAGGCAGGATTGAAGTCGTGAAGGTTTTGCTCGGGGAAAAGCTCGATGCAGCGCAGCTTTCAGTACATAAAGGTGAGAATATCTTACATCTTTGTGTCAAACACCATCAGCTCGAGGCTCTGAAGCTCCTGCTTGACAAAGTCTCCGATGAAGAGTTAGTTAATGCTAAAGACTCCGACGGCAACACTCTTCTGCATTTAGCTGTCGCGCATAAGCAGGTCGAGGCAAGTTATTTATTCATCGCTATTGAGTTAGTTTAGTGATGAAAATTTGCTCGCTATCGAAGTTATCAGTCAACTGCTGAGTTGTCTGATCATATACAAGTCCTGATGAACTCCTATGTTTAACGATAAAAGATTTCTTTAGATTCTAAAAATATGATGATATCCAATTTAGATTCTCAATAATCTTTGAAATGTATTCAATTAGAATTTTCATATTTAATACCAAGTTTTAAAAAGTTTGTAGATATTTAATAATACATGAACTTTAATACTATATTTTGTGTAAAAATTTTCATATTTAAGTACTATATTTGTAGATAAAATGATTTTTGGGGTATGATCGGAGAATGGTGTAAATATATAAATTATATTATTTTAGGTTGAATATTTGATTTTTTTGACTCTTGTTTAATGAATATTTAAAGTTTTTTTGACTTATTTTTGTATAAAATATTTTTATTTTTTGTTATTAGTTTTGAAAAATGGAAATTGAAAATTAACGTTGAAAGAACAAAACGATATGATTTTTTTTTTTTTTTTTTATATTCTTCTAAAAGTATTAACAAATTACTACAGTGTAAAATCCCCAATAATAATTTTTTTTTTATTAATTTTAAAATTTGAAAGTACACAATATTATATTATTTATACCATTAATAACTATTTATATTTAATAAGTATTTAATATTTTAATAAATAATATCTGTAAGAGAGAAAATAACTTAAATATAAATAAAAAGTTGTAAATATTTTAAAAATATATATTAGAAATAATACAATTTTTTTTTATATATATATTTAAAATAACAAACTCAACATGTTAAATCAATTTTCAATTTTATTTGGACACATATATTTTTAAAAAATTAATTGTATAAATAAAAATATATTTTTTTGAAGTAATATATATTTGGTATTTATTTATTTAACTATTTACATTTTAATTTTTTTTTTCTATACATAAATATGTTATTTCTATGTGTACCAATATAGAAATTCATATAAATTTGTATTTCTATATTTTATATATTTATGTTATATATATATATATATATAATTATTATATAAGCCTTATTTGAATTTGCAGTGACGAGATCATAGATTCAAATATCTAATACATCAAAATTTTGGAATCTCCTAATTTTTGTTTTGCGCCGGATCATTCGAAAGTTAGGACAACCACCTTGTCTTTAAATTTTCTAAATTCATATACTTTTTAAAGTAATTTTTTTTCAATAAAATCCAAATTAAATGAACACATAATATTGTCAAGATCCACCAGTGTGATATTACTCCCTAAAATATACTTCTTTCCCATTGAAGAAGGATTCAAGATGCAAGTTACCAAACCTTTTACAAATGATTACTTTATACTTGAGGAAGAAACAGAGAGATACGTGATTTTATCCATCCTTTAGAGTCATTCCTTTTGCGGGTTCTTTTTCATGATGTTGACAAAAGATTATTGAAAAACACAAACACAGTCCTTTGTCAACATGGTTTTTCTTGCATATGGTGATTCTGGTTTACTTTGTTGTGAAATTTTGTGATTGATCTTGCCGAATTCGATCGGATTAATTTACAACTTGTTCCACCATTTTCAAGATTATCACATTATTGTGTTTGATTCCCCAACACTAAAATTCTTGCAACCTTTCTGATGTGCTAATTATCCTAATATATAAAAACTTCTTGTATTCCTTAAATAGACTATCGAGTTCTTGCTTGGCGTGGCTGCGCTCGATGCAAATGCAAAGAATCTAAACCGAATGACGGCTTTAGATATTCTAATCCAAAGCAGAAGTGATCTAAGGGATGCAGAGATTCTAGAATCTCTTAGACAGGCTAATGTGGATGGAGTACAAGACTATGATCAAGGATCACGATTTCATCAAGACTCGGCGAGCCAAGTCTCATCTTTTCTTGTCAATCCTAATCCAACATTCCCAACTAATATCAGAAACAAGGAGAAGTATCGAGAAGATTGGCTAGAGGAAATGCGCAGCGCGTTGATGATTGTAGCTTCACTAATAGCAACCATGGCCTTCCAAGTTGGAGTTAATCCTCCCGGTGGCCTCTGGCAGGACGACAGCAAACCAGGCGATCAACCTGTTTATAAGGCAGGCTTCTCAATATTTGCGCGGAATTATCCAGAAGATTATGTAGTATTTTACATCTTCAACACAATAAGCTTAATCTCATCTCTCAGCATCATACTTCTTCTGATCAGTGGTTTGCCGGTGACGCGCAAGCTTTTTGTGTGGATCCTAATGGTGGTCACTTGGATTGCAATTACAGCTACGGCGCTGACTTATAGCTTGGTTATATCAGCTGTGACACCGGCCGAGCGAGGCAAAAGTATGGAGAATGTCATCAGAATAACAATATTAGTGTGGATTGTGTTGATGGTACTCCTCCTCATTGTCCACACGATGCGCTTGATCGTGAAGATAATTAAAAAGCTGAAAGAAAGACTGTGTGGGAGGCCAAGGATGGGTTCAGCTACCACGGTTGGTCGTGTTCAGAAACTATATGCTCGATATGTGAGGTTATTGTGAAGTGATAACGAATGAATTTGTGTGTGATTTTGTTGTCGATATTTCTCCGCAACTTTTCCGAACATTTGTAAGTGAATAAAATATATGGATATCAATGGTTTGATAGTCTTGTGGTAAATTTGGAGCCTCGGTATCATAAGATTTGATTTTTTCTGTCTTTGGTGATTATATGTAACAACCATGTGCTACATTTGAAGTAAAATAGTGAAAAAGTGAAAAATAAGTCCATCAAATACTCTTTATAGTTTTGACATTTTTATCATTTGTACTTTATGTATAAATTGATTGCATGGGTAATGATATATTTGTAATACAAATAAAAGTTAAAAAAATATTTTATTATTAGTGTATAATTAATATAAAAGTTAAATAGATATTTTGAGTAAAATATATAAAAATGGTCAAAAATATATTTTCAGTTGAAATAAAAAGAATATAATTTTACAATTTAATCACAATATATATAGTTGGAGATTTACTATGCTATATAATATAATAATTAGATTTTTTTAATCATAATAATAAAAAAATTGATTAAATAAATACAAAAAAAATTGAAAATTATGAAACTATGATGATACTTGGCCCTTTTTTTTTTTTTTTATAGAGTTATGTGTTTTTTTTAGTCTTTTGAATTTTTTTAACTAGATGCAATATTTTGGATAAAAATAAATTTATTTTATTAGGAACAATGATATTGTACAATAAAATTATTGATAAAAATTAAAATACAGCCGAAAAAATTATTTTCTTGATTTGACTTTAAATTTTAATTAATATATTTTTTTTTGTGCTTTTTTTTTTTTTTTTAATAGAATATGGACTTAATAGTTGTTAATTTGAAATTAAAACCCAACACAAGTACTCAAAAATAACTACAAAATATCTTTAGTGTAGATTCCTAATTAAATAAATAAAGGTCACTAGTAGTCCATCCTCTCCAACATCAAGATGTAACATCTCCATATATCTTTCTTAATCTATCAATCGCAGGATGTGCATATTAAATAACTTTGACTCGTTGGGTCATTTAGATAAAACATGTGAACTTCGTCTAATTCCAAATACAATTTTTTTTTTTTTTTTTTTTAAAAAAATGGCTTGTGTGTGGTATTAATTAATTGATCTCTTCAATGTGATACTACAATCTTGTATATAGTAATCTTTGTCGAGGCTATTTTCAATCCATGGTTACTTGCATTAATTCTCCAAGAGTTTATAAGCTCTTGAAATGCAAAATTCCAAGAGTTTACAAGATCTTGAATGGCTACAAAACATAATCTTGACCTTGGCGTTTTGCAGATGTTTCCATCAGAAGACCAAGACTTGTTGTTTATGGTTTACAAATCCAAACACCACACGGTTTCTAAGGCGTCGCCTATATAAGGATATCATCAAGCTATGAAAATTCTGCGCCAAGATTTATTCAAGCTAACAAACATTGCTCGGAAAAAGATGGAGGATTTGGAGAAAAAGTTGTACAATGCTGCAGTGAAGGGCAGCACCGAGTCTCTCCAAGAATTGCTCAGGCAAGATCCAATCATCCTGGAAAGAGCTGTGGCCAACAGTTTCTCGGAGACGCCTCTGCACGTGGCAGCAATGTTAGGCCACTCGGATTTTGTGAGGGAGATCGTTAGGATCAATCCGCGGCTGACAAATGAGTTGAATTCAATGCAATCGACTCCTCTTCATCTGGCTTCGGCTAAAGGTCATGTGGAGGTAGTGAGGATTCTGATTTATGTCGATCCTCAGACATGTCTGGCTCGAGACAGAAACCAGATGACAGCCCTGCATCTAGCAGCACTTAAAGGCAGGATTGAAGTTGTTAAGGTTTTACTCGGGGAAAAGCCCGATGCAGCGCAGCTTTCAGTGCATAAAGGTGAGAATATCTTACATATGTGTGTCAAACACCATCAGCTCGAGGCTCTGAAGCTCCTGCTCGACAAAGTTTCCGATCAAGAGTTAGTTAATGCTAAAGACAGCGATGGCAACACTCTCCTGCATTTAGCTGTGGAGCATAAGCAGGTCGAGGTAAGTTATTCATTCGTAGCTGTTGAATTAGTGTCAAAAATTTGCTCGCTACCGAACTTATCAGTCAACTGCTGAGTTGTCTTACGACATACATTTCCTGATGAACTCCTATGCTCTTCTGATTTTAATGCTAGGGCCTAACATATATATATATATATATATATAAGATTTGTTAGGAAATTTTTGGATTGATCTTGCCGAAATTGGATAAATTAATTTACACTTTGTTCCACCATTATGCAAGATTATCATGTTAATGTGTTCAATTCCCCAACAATAATTAGAAATCTTGCTGCCTTTCTTTGTACTTAGGAAAAATGCTAATAAAGGCTTTTGTGATTCCTTAAACAGACTGTCGAGTTCTTGCTTTCCGCGCCTGAGCTCGACGTGAATGCAAAGAATCTAAACCGAATGACGGCTTTAGATATTCTAATTCAAAGCAGAAGTGATCTAAGGGATGCAGAGATTCTAGAATCTCTTAAACAGGCTAATGTGGATGGAGTACACGACTATAATAAAGGATCGCGATTTCAGCAAGACTCGGTGAGGAACAATCACAAATTATCATTCCAAACCAATCTGAGGAACAAGGGAAAACATCAAGAATATTGGTTAGAGGAAAAGCGCAGCGCGTTGATGATTGTAGCTTCACTAATCGCAACCGTGGCCTTCCAAGTTGGAGTTAATCCTCCAGGTGGCCTATGGCAAGACGACAGCAAACCAGGCGATCCACATGCTCATGAGGCAGGCTACTCAATACTTGCTCGGAATTACCCAGTAGAGTATGTAGGATTTTACATCTACAACACAATAAGCTTCATCTCATCTCTCAGCATCATATTGCTTCTGATCAGTGGTTTGCCGGTGAGGCGCAAGATTTTTGTGTGGATTCTAATGGTGGTCACTTGGGCTGCAATCACAGCTACGGCACTGACTTATAGCTTGATTATATCATTATTGACACCCGTCGAGCGAGGCAAAAGTATGGAGAATGTCATTGGAATAACAATATTTGTGTGGATTGGGTTGATGGCACTCCTCCTCATTGTCCACACGATACGCTTGATCGTGAAGATAGTAAAAAAGCTGAGAAAGGGACGGTGTGGGAGGCGAAGGATGGCTTCAGCTACCACGGTTGGTCGCGTTTAGAAATTAAACTATGCTCAATATGTGAGGTTTGTGTCAAGTGATAATAAATGAATTGAGCTTCAGTGGCTTAATGTGATATATGCAAACGTATCTATGTGACCTTTCCGAACATTTTTTTACCAACAAGAAATATAGATTTCAATGGTTTGATACATTATTACATAATTTTACACGCGATCCCCCACGAGTAATACTAAAAAAATCTAATTCAATACAAAATACTATTTTTTATATGCATTTCGATCCCCATACTTAAACAAAAGGACACATATATTCGAAAAAGACAAAGTAAACACACTTGATTTTCGCGTCTTTGATGATTATATGTAACAACCATTCATTTACTATTTTTCCCCTATCGCCTTTTGTTTTGTTTTGTTTTTGTTTATTACATAGCTCACCGGCTGATACAAATGTATTATAATACTTATCAAGGTTCCATAATGTAAGATAACCAAGAAAAACACACGTACAAATAATGCAACGATTAGTCCAAAGCTTACCCTCCCAAACATGGCAGTGCAAAGTTTTTCATTCAGATTTTGTTAGGAATTTGGTGAACCATTTGGCAGACTGTTTAGGGTGTCGATTCAGATTATTCGTATAGTCGATGTAGATTATGCCCATTCTCTTAGTGTATCCCGCTGCCCATTCGTAACTGTCACACCAAGACCATACGAAATAACCTTTCACATTAACACCATCCCTACATGATTGCAAACATTGCCAAATTAAAAACCAATCTTAAGGCTAGCTGATGTTAGTTCTTTGATAAAAGAATGAGTAATTTTCAGTGATAACTTACTCATTGATTGCTTCGAGTACATTCACAATATGATCGCGGATATAATTCTCCCGCCATGGATCCTTGCACACCTCCTCCGCGGTGAGCGTGTAGTCATTGGCTTGGCTCAATCCTTAAAAAATTTGAAAATCACAATACCATTAACAAAGTTACAAAAAGTTGTAGTAAAAAGTTGAATTTGAATAGTTTTGATGTAATATACATAGATGTTAGATGTGATATTTTGAATGTAAAATAAATTTATAGTATAGTATAAAAAAAGAAAAGTCAGATTTGATATTTTTGAAAAGAAAAACGAATCTAAATAGTAAAAATATGCAGTAAAACTCACAAAAGAACACAACCAATCGGGGATGGTGTTAAAGTTAGAATTACCATTTTCGGTGATGTATATAACGGGAAGGTTGTATGTCGGGTTTTCATATGTATCTTTCAGGTATTTCAAGAGTTTGCGGATTCCCCATGGGACTATGTAAGTCCACTTTGAATCTGGAGCCTGAAGTATCAAGCCATATATAAGTAATACTTGAATAAATATTCATCAAAGTAGTTGTAAATACAAATTAATCAATTAGTCCCTCAATCGATTATTGAGGTAACTTACCATTGGACCTATTGGCAGCCCTCCATCTCCTTCAACTGAAAGGAGTGAAGAACAACACAAATATTTATGTCAATTATTCATATTTAGAACTTAATAAATAACAAATGATCAAAGTTGGCAAGAGTCCTGTGGACACCTACAGAAAGTCGAAATTTTCTGATCATATTGGAAGGGAGTTACCCCAATAGGGTGTGGATTGTCAGCTGCATAGAGGGCTGTGTAATAGTTCAATCCCAAAAAGTCGAGGGAGCCTTTGAGAAGCGTGTTCCTCTTCATTGAAAGGTTCAAGAATTTCAGGAGAAACATTTTCTAGCATCGTTGCTGAGTACTGTCCTCCCAACAGTGGCCCCAAAAACCTACATCGATATAATTAATTACTATTGGGGGGCTCTTGGTTGCAGATAAATAAATTAATAGTGCATTTTTTTAATAGCTCGAGCTTTCAGGTGAGACGGTTATTCTGCACATCCGACATGGTATTAGAGCCCTAGGTTTCAAGTTCGAGCTCCAAATAAATTAATGACACGCTTCTCTAATAGCTCGAGTTTTTAGGTGAAGCGGTTATTTTGTGCATCCGACATCCGAGAATTACGAGTATTCAAATCAAATTTAGCTGATTATATGCAAAGTTTACCATCCAATTTGGAAGTCAAGTGCTCTTTTGGAAGCTTCTACATCTTCTTGTTTAGTAGAGTAAGGCTCAACCCAGGCACAATTAAGGACTATTCCAATCTGACCCTGCTGGTGTTCCTGTTGTAGTTAACAAATAATGTGATTCCATTTTTATTTTTTTCAATCAGTTTGTATACAAAAATTCAATATATATATATGTATATATTATATAAACCTGAAATTTGGTTCTGTAAGATTGAACTGCCTTTGCATGAGCAAGAATGAAGTTTCTTCCCACAGTGTACACATCTTGGGGTGGACTCGTGCCTTTGGGGTTTTGTGTAAAAGTTTTGGCAGAAACGCCAACATTGTCATCTTCTATAATAGCTTGCTTATAACAAGGTGCATAATCCCCAATCACATATCCAATTGTGCAGAAAATATGTGGTTCATTGAAAGTGACCCATTTCTTGATCCGATCTCCAAAATGACAAAAGCAAAATTCGACAGAGTCTTGAAAATCCTTCCTGAAATTAAGGGATCAAGAAGGGAAATCCTATTCAAAATAAGTATAAGGCCAAATTTAACACAGGTAATTCTAATTCAATAGTTTTCGAAGTGCACTTCAATTAAGATGCTTATTAGAGATTTAACGGTGATTGCCCAATCAACACATAAAAATAACTATAGATATCATATGAAAATATAATAGACAACATGTATATCCTGTAAATACTATTTTATATGTGTTATAGATTTATATCAAATGTGCAAGCTCGGTCCACCGGCTTTCAAAGTGTAATGAAGAATACAAATATGGCACAACTTACACAATGTTTTCACTCAAAAAGCCACCATACTCTTGTTCTAAAAACTGAGGAAGATCCCAGTGAAACAAAGTAACAACTGGTTCGATACCTGTATGTAGTTAATGGAATGAATGCAACTAGCTCAGCTAAAATACATATATATAAATGTTATATATATATATATATATAGAGAGAGAGAGAGAGAGAGAGAGAGAGAGAGAGAGAGAGAAGGAACATATATATTTGAGTAATTGGTTTGGACACCTTTGTCGATGAGGGAGTCTATTATTTTACTGTAGAAATCGATTCCTTCCTGGTTAACTCCAAGGCTAATTTTTCCCTCTAATTAACAAATAAACATGAAACAACAAACGCATGAGCTTAGAGTAAAGGGAACAGTTTGATTGACCAAGTGTAGCTCATAAACTAAAAATAACTTACTGGGTGGGTAAGACTCTCGACCATGAAATTGAAAATCTGTAGGCATCCAAACCCATGGTTTGCATCATCCTAAAGTCATCCTGTAAGGGCAATCGACACAACCACTAATCAACATTACTATCTCTAAAAACATATATATATATATATATATAGAGAGAGAGAGAGAGAGAGAGAGAGAGCAACAGCATGAACCTCATATCTGTGATACATGTCCAAGCAACATTTCCATTGCATCCATCAGCAATTCTATCTGAATTTATCAAAAGTTATGGAAAGCATTTACATACACACGAATACAAATAAATGAAGATAGAGAAACAGAGTGCCAGAGAGAGAGAGAGAGAGAGATGAACCAGGGGTCTGCAAGGCGAAAACATGCCAAATGCTTTAGCCTCTACCTCCTTCGCTCGCGGCTCCTTCAACCTGATAGATAAGAAAATAAATCAATATCGAAGTCCTAAAATTCCTATGTCTAAGAATGGTTGAGAAGAGTTGCTCCATTGCCATAGCCACAACCATACCTGGTAAGCAGCAGTTGAAGTCCCGAAAATGAAATCAGGAGGAAAATCGTTGCGACTGATGTTAAAAAATGATGTGTCCACCGGTGGAACAGCCTCATTTCCCGCCATTGTTTTCTGATAAATTAAATATAGCTGTAGCTCTATGGATTGCTTTAATGCTTTCGTTGTGAATGTAAGAGTTGCAAACAGCCCTTTCTGTTTATAGCTGAATGAATATCTTTACAACTTGCACATTAAAATATTAGCACCTCCCTCCCAAAAGAATGGAAAATCACCAAAGATATTAACGTGGATATGGGTATTGATGAGCTCATTAATATTAATTGAATTGCCACTCAATGGGTATAACAACTTTATACAAGTCCATGAGGGATGACCGGATGGTATTGGGTGAATTTATGACCGTGAGATTATGGATTCAAACTCCTGGTTCGGATAATGTGACTTGTTTTGTCAAACTTAGTTTGCAGGCTATTAAATTTGACTGGAGTTTATCCAGAGATACTCGTATGTTTTAAAAAAAAAAAAGCTTTATGAAATTGTAATATGTATATGTTTTGAATTGTGTTGTCCAGTGAAATAAAAACTACATTGTACCACATAAGAAATCTATCAAATAACATGATAAATAGTATAATATATAAACAATTATGAAATTATTGTATATATTTGTTAGGAGTATAATTTTGTTGAAATATGTTGTAAACATGTGGAAAATTTATATATTTAAAGACAAAAATATTATAGTCTAAGTCTATTAGAAAAAAAAAAAACCTAATTTTGAACCATAGTATAAAGACGTGGATCTATGTTTATTCGATCAAATCAACGTGGTGCTAATTTGACCAGATCAACATATATCATAGAGGTAAACAAGATAAATTTCTACCTACAACATATGGTGCTTTATAAGATATCATATGCTGCTTTGTAACATAGTATATATGCTGTATTATAAATATAAATATACTATAATATGTATAATATTATAAGCATGTTAAATCTATTGAATCACATAAAATATACTGAAAACAATTACTCAATAATGCCCTATAAAACGGTTCAGCCTCGAATTAGGATTATTATATGTAAGTGTGTACCAGATTTTACACCATAAATAAAACATTTGAGAGTTTCTGAAATAAATATAATGGTTTTAATATGTTTTTTTTTTTGGTTTGTCATAATAAAGTTCAATTTATATTAAAATAAATTGTCTAACATTAAGGGAAATTGCATGACTCCAACATTTTTCCTATGGGGTTTATAGAATATTAGTTGGCACATAATATGGACACAACAAAACCAAAAAG